ACATACATACATACATACATACATACATACATACATACATTACATACATACATACATACATACATACATACATACATACATACATACATACATACATTACATACATACATACATACATACATACATACATACATACATACATACATACATACATACATACATACATACATACATACATACATACATACATACATTACATACATACATACATACATACATACATACATACATACATACATACATACATACATACATACATACATACATACATACATACATACATACATACATACATACATACATTACATACATACATTACATTACATTACATTACATACATACATACATACATACATACATACATACATACATACATACATACATACATACATACATACATACATACATACATACATACATACATACATACATACATACATACATACATACATACATACATACATACATACATACATACATACATACATACATACATACATACATACATACATACATACATACATACATACATACATACATACATACATACATACATACATACATACATACATACATACATACATACATACATACATACATACATACATACATACATACATACATACATACATACATACATACATACATTACACATACATACATACATACATACATACATACATACATACATACATACATACATACATACATACATACATACATACATACATACATACATACATACATACATACATACATACATACATACATACATACATACATACATACATACATACATACATACATACATACATACATACATACATACATACATACATACATACATACATACATACATACATACATACATACATACATACATACATACATACATACATACATACATACATACATACATACATACATACATACATTACATACATACATACATACATACATACATACATACATACATACATACATACATACATACATACATACATACATACATACATACATACATACATACATACATACATACATACATACATACATACATACATACATACATACATTACATACATACATACATACATACATACATACATACATACATACATACATACATACATACATTACACATTACATACATACATACATACACATACATACATACATACATACATACATACATACATACATACATACATACATACATACATACATACATACATACATACATACATACATACATACATACATACATACATACATACATACATACATACATACATACATACATACATACATACATACATACATACATACATACATACATACATACATACATACATACATACATACATACATACATACATACATACATACATACATACATACATACATACATACATACATACATACATACATACATACATACATACATACATACATACATACATACATACATACATACATACATACATACATACATACATACATACATACATACATACATACATACATACATACATACATACATACATACATACATACATACATACATACATACATACATACATACATACATACATACATACATACATACATACATACATACATACATACATACATACATACATACATACATACATACATACATACATACATACATACATACATACATACATACATACATACATACATACATACATACATACATACATACATACATACATACATACATACATACATACATACATACATACATACATACATACATACATACATACATACATACATACATACATACATACATACATACATACATACATACATACATACATACATACATACATACATACATTACATACATACATACATACATACATACATACATACATACATACATACATACATACATACATACATACATACATACATACATACATACATACATACATACATACATACATACATACATACATACATACATACATACATACATACATACATACATACATACATACATACATACATACATACATACATACATACATACATACATACATACATACATACATACATACATACATACATACATACATACATACATACATACATACATACATACATACATACATACATACATACATACATACATACATACATACATACATACATACATACATACATACATACATACATACATACATACATACATACATACATACATACATACATACATACATACATACATACATACATACATACATACATACATACATACATACATACATACATACATACATACATACATACATACATACATACATACATACATACATACATACATACATACATACATACATACATACATACATACATACATACATACATACATACATACATACATACATACATACATACATACATACATACATACATACATACATACATACATACATACATACATACATTACATACATACATACATACATACATACATACATACATACATACATACATACATACATACATACATACATACATACATACATACATACATACATACATACATACATACATACATACATACATACATACATACATACATACATACATACATACATACATACATACATACATACATACATACATACATACATACATACATACATACATACATACATACATACATACATACATACATACATATACATACATACATACATACATACATACATACATACATACATACATACATACATACATACATACATACATACATACATACATACATACATACATACATACATACATACATACATACATACATACATACATACATACATACATACATACATACATACATACATACATACATACATACATACATACATACATACATACATACATACATACATACATACATACATACATACATACATACATACATACATACATACATACATACATACATACATACATACATACATACATACATACATACACATACATACATACATACATACATACATACATACATACATACATACATACATACATACATACATACATACATACATACATACATACATACATTACATATATATATACATATACTTATTATATATATACATGGTTGTGGCTTTTTTGGGAACCCCGCTCTTGGTTCCTTTTAAAGGGACCCCAAAGGGAAGCCCGCTCTTTTGTGGATTTCCGATTCCTTTTTTGAGACACACCCAGGTACCTTGCGAATCCGTCTTCTCGAGGCTCGCACGTGCCCTCGAAGGGACTTCCGCACGACAAGTCGCAGCCCAAGAGATGGTGGTACGGCTCAAACCTGCGGCTTGGGCCGCGCGGGTTATGCCCCACAGCGAGGGACAGGGACAGTTTTTTTACTCTCGGCTTTCTTTCAAAGCCCGTCAAAAAAAACTACCCGCAGGGTCTGTGTGTGTACATCTACCTTGAAAACTTGGCTCCAAAAAAATGGGGAACCAGCTGGAACCAAAATGGGCTCGTGTTGATATACGAGCCTTCCCTACATCGATCCAATTGCGATTCGATCAATCCGCCGGCAGGGCTGGTCTCGGAAGTTCTCCAACACCTCGGGCGCACAGAAAACAAAAATGAGTTTCCTTACTCGGTTGCGAAATCTGCTCCCCTGCTAAAAGTGACTAACTTTTAGTGGTTTAATACGGAAAACCCATCAGTTGGCAACAAATTAAAGTCCTAACAGCCAAGCAAAATGCACCAAAGCACAAATGGCTTGTCTTTTTTGGAGTTGCTACCCCCATTTTGTGGGTTTAAAGGACAACTAGAACGACTGAAAGGACAACAATCATTTAGGAGTCCCCTAAAAAAGACAGACCCTGGACATTATATTTAAAAAAAAAAAAAAAACATATCTGTGGGATTCATGTCCACCAACGACTTGCAAGGTGGTTCCCTGTCATGACCATTTGAGGGTTGTTTAGAATTAAAAAGTAAACTTATGTAAACTTCGGATTGACCCCTGACTAATCAAAAAGGCTTCCCCAGCATGATCAACTCACAAAAAGAATGCCAAACGGCACAAAGCGATTCTCTTTTTTCGCAACGGGGGGGGAGGTCTCACATGGGTCATTTCTCATAAGGATCAGCCGATCTCATATGGTCCAGTCCGGAAATCCCAAGGTGGCAGCAGAAGCTGCGCGGAGCTGGACGTCTCAAGATGATCAGGCTCTTTAGCGCCGTAGCCCAGGGCCGGGCTTGCGTCGTTGGTTGGAGCACAAATTTCCACATGTCACAAAACGTCCCATGGAAATGACGTGCAAAGGTTTCACAATCAGCACAATGTGCTTTTCACTGGTCCCAGGTTTTTAGGGGAGCCTGAGTGGTCTGCTTTTCATTTCTACGTGGCAAGCCCAAGAGAGGCTTGGCCTTCATCCATGGAACCTGAATGCCACGTTACACCTTCAAGGCTCGCTTTGACGTTGGCAAAGAGACATGACTGCAGGCCAGTCGACCATGGAGTTTTCCTGCTTTCCTGCGCATTAGTTTCCCAGCCCACTGTGGTGTGAATGGTCTCTGCGGCATGTGCCACAAATGCCTTTGGCCTGAGGTTCCACCACACGGAGCATGGTGAGAGCTTGAATACGAAGCTTTTCCCAAGAAGTTAAGAGGGTTCCCAAGGTGAAGACCACCTACCATGTGCTGACTCGTCTGGCCTTTTTAGCGAGGACCAGATTTCTTCCATCCCCCAAATGCGCCTACCCCGGGACTTACCCTAAAGTGAAACACCACAGTCACTGGATTTCCCACTTCTAGAGGTGCAAACAAGTGAAATTGAGGGAATGGAGGCCCCAGCATCCCCCAGTCCCCAGACTCCCCGCTTCCTGCAAATGGATGTGCGTCTTTTGGGGCAATCCTCAAAATGCTGGGGTTTCCTTGTGGTTTCCCATTAAAGCCGTACCAACTCCAAAAAGACCCACCCAAGTGAAGCCCCTGAGGTCTGGTTAAATCTTTGCTTGAGGGCGGAGAGGGCCAAAGTGCTGTGTCGCTCCGCCGCAGTTCCCGGCCTTGATTTTCAGGAAGCGCAGCAAGATCCCGGGCTTCTGAACCTCGGGAAGACGCCGAGAGATTTGCTCGCGACTTTCGCCGTGATCCATGAAACTGGATGTGAGTCACATTCCAAACCCGGTATTTCTCATGCCATGTTAATAGTCGGCCGCGCAAAAACAAAAAGCTGGGTGATCCATGTAGTTAAATGGAGTCATATTCCAAACCTGGTATTAACATGGTCTACCCAATGCAAAGAATCTAAAGGTCGGCTGCACCTATTTCTGGTTGGGAACATCCTTTACGAACCTTCATCGGGTGTGGCTCATTTGAGCTCCAGAGGAACAACCGGTCGAGCGCTTCCCAGTCAAGCGGTTTGCATGAGGGGGAAGCCACCAAGATGCTGGGGACACCCGATGCAGCTATCAGCGGCGTGTTGGTTTTGGAAGCCACTGCCGGATCTGTGCAGCACGGATTCAACCAACGGCCTAAGAATTTTCAGTTGGCGCCAGAATGCGCGTGCAATTGAAATCGGCCTGCTGATTTTCTAAAACTCAACAAACTCAACTTGCACACAAACCCCTTGCAGCCTTGCATCACAATATGCTGTTATGTGCAGCGAAACCACCTTCAATGTTCAGAGCCATGCTAAGAATGGGACGAAACCACGCTAGTGAAAGTCAACGCTGAGATTCCCATGTGCCAAAAGCCCCAGGATTTCGCATGCAATGTTCGATGTCAGCACTGCTTTCTGCCGCGCATGGACAAAAAACTCCCCTGCCGTTTTTTGCACCAATTGGAGATTGGACGGATTTGTTTGTCCTATGAATTCTGGTTGCTAAAAATCAACAACACACTTGGTGTGCTTTGCGGACTTTGGTCAACTCTCCAAAGCGGCACAAAGGGCCAGGGCTCCGCCACCGCCAAGCCACCCGAGCCCACGGCAGACGCGCCCATGGCGCTCAGGTGATGGACGTGGGGATCCAGGAAGAGCACCTCAAGCGAGTGACGGACGACGATCAGCTTTTGGGGACCCTGACTATGGGCCAAAATTGGGGAAAAAAAGACACCAAAGGCCCACAAGGCTCCAGCCGATTTGGACAACTTCGCTTTAGCATGCTCAAAGTTCTCAAACAGGCCCAAATGTTTCGGTTTACGTCCGTTCGGCCGGATGTTCATGGCCACCATCACCATCTGAATCTGATGGTCTGGGCTTTGACTTGATGGGCAATCTGTTTGTCCGTCCGTCCGTCCGTCTGTTTTGTCTGTCCGTCTGTTTGTCTGTGTTTGTCTGTCTGTCTGTCTGTCTGTCTGGCTGTTTGGGTTGAACATGAATTGATTTGATATCTCCATGGCGGTGACGATCTAAGTTCGCTCTTCGCAAAAAGATACCTTTGTGACAAATGTACAGAATTATGTTTTACAGAACTTTCGCAACTCCACTGCGACTACATTTGACAGGGGAAAACGATCAGTCATTATGACTCTCATACTACGCTTGTGGGGGGAACCCACACATCTTGCCACGGTCGACAACGGATCCTCATAACCATGGCGGCTTATGGGCAACCGAAAGCTGCTGACGGCTGGATCTAAGGTCCTGCTTACCCGAAATTAACATGCTCACCGACCAAACATTTATAAGGACGGTTTTGAGCCAGCTAGGAAACAATTTACGTGGGCGCGTCTGGTTTTTGCGCAACACGTGTTGGCGTTGGTTCAAAAGGAAACCGAAGGGAATCCGCCCATTTGAGGGTGCTTCTCCTTACACTTCCTCCAACTAACGTACCACCTATTGGATTTGTCTGTCAGGAAGCCTCCGATAGGTGCCACATTTGTGGACGGGAAAGAAACGAAAAGGGAGGAAATGGCAAAGTCAAGGGAGGAACTACAGTAGGCGGTGGGAAAACGTCTTCCAAAAAAAAATCCAAGGCTTTGATTCAAATGGGATCGAGCAGCAGCCCTTTGGTGGCCGAGAGGGACACCACCCCATTGGTCGAGAGGGACATCAGGTGACTCCACCCCATTTTGAGGCTTCCCTGGAGGCAAGCCCGTTTCCGCGCGGAGGCTGCCGTAGACCCTTTTCAGATCGGAGCTTTGGTGTTGGCATCGATCTGTTCACGTGAGCCGCTGTTGGATCTGGCTTTGCCGCCTCCGAGACAAGGTCCCCAAAGGGCCACCAGAAGGCTGGGACAAGCTAAGCCCACTTGGCACTCGGGACCCGTACCATATCACCGCTCAGGATGCTCGGCAAGTCGGTGAAGTTGTATACCTGTGCCCGGTTTTGGGGTAAGCCGCAAAGCATCTTGGGGGTCTCTTGAGTGTGAGTGTATTCAACGCACAGGCTGGCTTTCCGGGCAGCAAAAACAACCAGTCCGGGGATTGCCGTTAAACAAAAATCATGCCGGCACTCGTAAAGTGACCCCATGCTTTCACGACACGTGCCTTTACAAATCCGCACTTAATCCAAACCGAGACACAAAAACGGCCGGTTCCCACCAAAAAAAACAACTATTCCCCCCCTCACTTGTCCATATTGCCTGCCTTTCCCTTGGCCGATCCCCAAATCCTCCGGGGCGTCCCTCCGATCGCGCACAGAGTTGAAGCCCAGACCGAAGCGCCCGATCTTCCTCGAGCGGCCGAGCGGTCGGATTCATGAGAGGAAAGGGGGTGACCCGAGTCGGGCAAAGGATTTGACCGATGTGTGTGACTGTGAGTGTGTGTGTGTGTGTGTCAACATAGGGCTTTGGCTTACTTTGGTGTCCTTGCAATCAACCTTTTACAGGGGGCAAATCGCGATCTCCACCCAAAATAATCTACCGAGGGAAACAAAGAAGTAGGAAAAAGGTTGGAAGTGAGGATTGAACCGGCTGAGTCAAGTATGAGGGATTCCAGCACAGCCAGTCCAACAACTGGGTCCACCATAGCCCAAGATAGAGGCTCACTATGAAAGACACCCTCGTCATGGATTGCTACAATCAGGGCCCGGTCGAAAGGAACCAGTCTGGTGGCGAAAGATAGTCCTTCCACACAAGGCCGGACTGGCGAAAACTCTCCCAATAGCAGCAGCCAAACCCTTATGCACGTTTGGGACTGCCAAAATGTGTCTGTTACTCGCATGCCCATTGAATGAGTAGAGCCCAATGGGAACCAAGGATCCAGAAAAATATTCACCCGTTTTGCTCTGCAAGGACAACACCAAGGACCCATGAAGACAAGGTTCCAGCTGTTTCTCGAGGGCACCCTCACACAAGCACACACTCCAATTGGTTAACTATAATTTTGCTTCATCCTGACTTCCGACTGGTCGCTTGCTCTCGACTCAACTCGACGCCGAGTCGCCGGGACTGCTCGCGCTTGCCGCCCACGCCCAGCCGGCAGATGCTGTCGAAGTCTTTGGCCGTGAACTGGGCGTCGTTGTAGACCCAAAGCCCTGGCCCCTGCCTCGAACGCGCGAGAAATCGTCTCAGCGCAACGAATCAAGGTGACGAGGGAGAGCATGGACCCTCAAACTGCATGCATATTAGATATGGGTCAAAATTGAACCACCCTGGAAGCCCTGGAACAACAGGTTTTGGGCGGACAAATGTTGCCTCTGTGGTATGGTACTGCCGCCCAAAAAAAAAGCCGCACAAGCCCAGATATCGGCTCCACCCAGCAGTCTCAGCAGTCCAAAGCAACAGGCACCGCGTTTCGCCTTCCTTCCAGAGGCAGTCCGAGAGTCCGCACATGAAGCCAACAAAAATCCCCTCCTCAAGCGCCCGGGGATGGTGGAAAGAGGAACACCCTTTAAAAGCTGAGGCCACGGCCAACGGTCCATGTCAGGAGTGAGCAAAGACTGCCTCAGCTGCTCAAACTGCAAGGAGAGACACTTGGCCATGGGTCAGAATCCCGTATCCCAGGTTCGAAAATGGGGGGTGAATTCACCTACCCCAAAACCATTAGGTTTTGACCCACAGCCACTTCTTACCACCTCCTCATCGTTTCCCTGCTCAGCCAACTGCTTCTGACGCGACGCCCTCCCCGTGGCCCAGGCATTTTTTTTGTGGCTGGGTGGCCGCCGAATCTCTCGTCGCTCCATGAGCAACAGGGGTTGACAATTTGCATCTCTGCGACTATCACCAACGCAGCAACTGCTCGACGGGTAAAACGTAGTTGAAACTTGGATCATGGGTGACCGTCGCATATGTCTCGTTGGCTGTGTTCAGAACAACATGACGGTTGTAGTTGAAATATCTGTTGCAACCACCATGTCTGATTAGCTGTTCTATGAGGGAGATCGCGTACCCGTGGCCGACATTGTGTGCCGCTCACGCGCCGTGTTTTGGGGTTTGGCCGCTGTTGAGTTCTCATTGCTTGCTCTTCTTCCGGCAGGGGGGCTGCGCCCTTCAGCCCCAACCAAGTTTCTCCTTGGTTGCTTTCTTGGCAGGTGTTGCTTGAGAATAAAGCAGGTTTCGGTCCGGTTGGGGTTGCTGCTGCGGCCGTGCTTGCTTGCTTTTTGCCGCTTGCCTGGTTTTGCTCCCGAGCTTTTGCCTGCCCTTGCCGGCCTGCCTGCTGCTTGTTTGCTTCTTGCCGGCCTGCTTGGTTGGTTGTCTGTTTGCTTTGGGTGCATAGTGCTTGTTGTTGCTGGCTTGCTGGCTGGCCAGCTTGCGCACTGGATTGGGGTTAGAAAACAAGCACACAATCCGGCGTGGCAAAACACACACACACACACCAACATACAGCACATGCGAAACAACCCAAGAGAACAAATGATGAGTCAACCCCTCAGCAAAACTCAAAGGGGGCTGTCACATGTTGGCATCTCCTTTTCCAGGGTCTTGCACCCTTGATCCAAAATTAACTGGAAGTTTCTGAACCTCTTCCACCTGTTTCCTCTTGGCTTCGCTTTGAACCAACCTCAAAAATGGCTACCTTGGACCATGGCTGCATTTCTTGATGTCCCCAAGGTAGACTTCAACCCACGCAAACCAACCAAGGGACACTCGAAGGTACCTCAATCCAACGGCCTCAGGCCGGCACTTCCGGTGCTGCCGCCAGTCCCACACGATGTGCACCTGCCGTAGCTCAATGGAGCGCAACCTCGTTCACTGCCCATCTTTTGGTGGCCAAGAGATGCCCAAACAGACTCCAACGGAACCTCAATGCTTCATGGGCCACAACGACTTTACATTGAACTCATAAAGTGTGAGCAGTTTTTTTTTTTTTTTTTTTTTTTTTCTGGAGTAAAGAAGGACTCCTGCGCAGGCCCCAAGTGAAAAATGAAGTCGTAAAATCTGAGCTGAATCATTGGAGTCAGGAGGCCTCGGTTGCGCCGGCATCATCCGCATTCTGCACCATCTCCTTGAACATGCTGACGTCCGCAGGATAGTCCTTCCGTGCACAAGCGCCATTTCACTCCGACTGTGCCCGCACGGCCTTGAGAAGGTTCTTCAGCCGAGTCGTGATTGGCCTCAAGTGCAGCGCAGTCACTGAACAACCAAATCTGGACATGTCTCAAAATGTTTGGCTTCCTGTTGGTTTCCCTTCAAACCACACCCCCCCCCCCCCCGAAACGCCTACGGGTGCCCTCACCCAATTTGAAGTAGATCCTCCTGCTCCGTTTCTGTGGTGATTCCTGCCGCAAACATCTGAATGCTTCGACTGCTCGGCCGGCGATGTAAAAAAGGCATACCAATGACCCCTTAAACCGGGAAATCTCACTCCGCATTTTTACGCCCAGGTCGTTTTGAACGGCTTTCATCTTGATTTCATCCCCGGGCACCAAACCGCCCGGCCGGCGAAGGCAGCGATCCCCTCAACTGCGGAACGGGCCCCCGGGCTCACTCTGCCCCGCCGCCTCGCACCAGTCGGCCCCGTGCATCTCCGTGGCGTCCTTGGCCACCACCAGAGACACGCCCCGGCCTTGGCTCCATGGCGCTCCCACGGCGGGTGGATGGAGGGGGGAGGTGAGGTGAGGTGAGGTGAGGCGAAGAGGGGAAGAGAAAAGGGAAAGCGTCCAAGAGACACGGCGTGTGGCTTGTTACGCACACACACAAGCTACCTGAGAATTCGTTGCATGGGTGTTGATCCATGCAGGGCTTGGCATTCTGCTCGCTTGAAATGTGCGAGAACAGCAGGAACATGAAGCTCCATGGAGACAAAGAGTGACAGAGAGAGAGAGAGAGAGAGACAGAGAGAGAGTTTCCTGTGTGGCTTCTGTCGCATCTCACCTTCTGTCAGATCCGGTTTACGCCCCAGGCTAAAAGTACAGAAACACCACCATGAAGCCGCCTGCAAACCATGCTCCATAGATCCACATACCTCCCAAGTCGAATCTCAATCGACTCCGGGGGCTGGAGGCACCCGGCAGCCACAGGTGTGCGCCACGGTATGAGAGATCTTCGGGTGAACCAGGCCTGGGCAAGCCGTGATGACCATGGCGACCGCCGTGCCACATATGTCTAAATAGGGAAAGCCCCTAAGGGTTGTTTCCTTTGGGGTTCGATAAAAAACAAGCCAAACAGGGCAGCCTCAAACCATGACGCACCCACATGCATCTACTCCCTTGCGAATTGACATGGAACCCAAAAGGGGGCCCTCCCAAAGGAAGTTCCTCTTAGGGCAGCACCAACCAATGGCCCATCTCGACATCTTGACTAAACCCACTTCCTGAGTGGATGGCCCCAATCAAGTCCAAAGTTTTTGCATGCCACTAAAAAGGTCCTCCCAAAAAGCACAAAGTCCACTAATTCAGGAACTGAGTACACCTCACGCGGTTGCATATAACCTTGTCTGCGACCTTTCCATCCCCATGAACAATTCACTTCGGGAGAAGTGGGCCTAGCCACCCATGCGGCAGCCGTGCTGAGGCTGGTACATCCGGACATATCTGTTTGAAATGAGCCAAGGAGCCCCACGTCTATCTTTCTGGTCAGCCTTTTAACTTCTCCAAACGCAAGCGTGTGTCAGAGATCCTCAAGTCCCCTTTCGGGGTGATGTTTAAAGCAGCCAAAGGAAAATATGAGGACCCCTCCTTGATCTTCCGCACTTGTGGATTGATGGTATTGTGCATCTCTTGCCCTGTGTCTGATGCAAACCACTATCGTGATCAGCTCGCTTCAGCCATTCCGCTCACCGTGATGTCCTACCTGCGTATGTGTCAAAACTAAGCCCCCCTGCAAGGGGTTGGCGTGTGAGGGTGTGTGTGTGTGTGTTTATAGATCATGGTTTCCCTCGTGGTTTCCCTAGAACCCCCCCCCCCCCAAACCAAAAGGTACCCTCAATCAAAAAACAGGACACATCCATCGAGGTGTCCCTGGACGAGCCAAACAAAATGCCCCTGGTTGGGGCCGCAAGGGTCCTCGGCCTCGCCTAAGCGATGGATCCGGTTGCAGGGTTCCAGTTTTGAGGAAAGGTGGACAAAAACACCCAGGGAGTTGTCCCTTTTGGGGAAATACGACTTGGTATCTGTAGCTTGGGGTCATTTTTGATTCCTCAGATGGAAGCGATGGATCTGGGAGACCGGCAGTAGTTCCCAAGGTTCAAGTGGGCCGTCTCCACCTCTGGCAGCCTCAGAGAAGCGTGGAATGGGACAAATCATCGGGGCTCCCAATCGCTCCCCTTCTGAGTAGGATACACCTAAACATCCCTAAGCTGGTGAAAAGAAAACATCTCTTCCCGACATGTATCCTTCAAGAGGAACCCCTGGCATATCCGTGGCCTCTGAGGCCTAACAACTGCCGAATCTCATCTCAGTTGGTGCACAAGTTGCATATCTACATCCCCTCCGCACAACTCGTCAAAAGAAAGTGAAGGCATAGACCAACTGGGTGTTGCTCAAAATAGAAGAGGGGACCAAACGCCATTGTGAGAAACTCCCAACAAGTCACCCCAAGTGCACGGCACACGGAGGAAGCCTGCTGCCTTTGGTAGCATCCCATCACACTGCAAGCCCAGCGAAAACTGGGATGCAAGCAACAACTACCTGGACCCTCAAACTACCCATAAGAAGTGCTTATTGCCGAAACTTTATGAGGCCAACAACCTTTTTTAAGGGTAGTGTGAAGGTCCGGGTATGCAACTCTCTAAATGTCGCCAAGTCCACACGAACATTGCTCCGCCAACGGGAAACGATAAGGATCCCCTAGCCCCTTGGCCTAAGAGCGGCGCCAGGTCATGTTGTTGAAGACACATTCCCGAGCAGGGCGCAGCTGGCTTTCCTGAATCGCAGACCAGGTTTACCTGGAATTCTGGAAAAGTTGCAAAAAAAGGGCTAGGGATTTTTTTTTGAGCATTGCAAGTTGGGGGCCAGGGATTCCCGATACTACAAAGCAATACTCGGTCGACTTAAAATCGATAAACATCGAAACTTCAGTTAGCAGCAGTCACCACTGAAACTGAAACCTGGTGAAGGAGCTATTCACCGGTTAGGAATGAGCCCGGGCCCCTCACCCATGAGCCGGGTCAAACGAGCTTGGCCCAAATGGCCGATTGGCAAGGGGTGCGGGCGGGGCATGGGAACGAAAGGCTCCATGGAAGCGTCATGTTTCGGAAAACTCTGACCTGGTGTTCAGATTTTTACCCTAAGTGAGAGTAACAACCAGCATCCCCGCACAGATGCTGCGCATTGCTGTTCTCCTAGGCCCCTCCCACTTCAAGGTTTACACCCCGGCCCAGTGGGTACATTCCCACGTATGGCTGGGGCCGGAACCTCCATCTTCCCGTGGTCCCCGCGCAAGGGGTATAGACTATCCCCGAAATCCATCGGCACAGACATGGCACCCTTTTTTGCTCGTTGATTTTAGAGGAAACCCACTGATTTTTCTTGATTTCTTTCTTGGTTGTTTGTTGTTGGTTGGTTTTAGTTATTTTTTGAGGAAACCCATTGATGTTTCTTGATTTCTTCCTTGGTCGTTTGTTGTAGGTTGGTTTTAGTTGATTTTAGAGGAAACCCATGGACATTTCTTGATTTATTTCTTGGTCGTTTGTTGTAGGTTGGTTTTAGTTGACCTTAGAGGAAACCCATTGAATTTTCTTGATTGATTTCTTGGTCGTTTGTTGTAGGTTGGTCTTAGTTGATTTTAGAGGACACCCATATATTATTATTGATTTATTTCTTGGTCGTTTGTTGGTGGGTTTTAGTTGATTTTAGAGGAAACCCATTATTTTTATTGATGTCTTTCTTGGTCGTTTGTTGTAGGTTGGTTTTAGTTGATCTTGGAGGAAACCCGGATTTTTCTTGATTTCTTCCTTGGTTGTTGTAGGTTGGTTTTAGTTGATATTAGAGGAAACCCACTGATTTTTTGATTTCTTCCTTGGTCGTTTGTTGTAGGTTGGCTTTCCCTCCAGAGAACCACCACCGGGGGAATCGATCAGTCCAAGTCAGCTGAGAAAGGCGCTGCAGTGGGCATCAGGATGTCCATCTTGCTCCCGGCCGCCGCCGGCGCGCTCTGCGCGCGCTCCTAAGCGGAGGTTGCGACTGGGAAACCTCCTCCTGAGAGGTACACCCACCACACCATAGGCTGATTCCGGGACCATTCCTTTCAACTCAACCATCGTCCCTTCCAATCCCTGGAAAGAATGGGGAAGGTATCTTAGAACCATTGAAACGTCCTCCCCCCACTTTGGGGGTCAAGTACAAGGGGAAAAAATCAAAGCCGCCAGAAAAAGGTTGGGGTGCTATTTATTCCAGCCATTCTTTGCAACCATCGTGCCTTCCAATAAACAGTCGTTTTCCCCGAGTTTCCGGAGGTGTGCCGGAAAGAAGGATCCCTGGAAAGCATGGGGAAGGTATCCTTCGAACCATCGAAAGCCGCCCCTTTGGGGGTCAAGTGCCGGTGGAAGAAATCAAACTGCCAGAAGAAGGTTGGGGCTTGATTTCGGGAAACTCTTCAAGCGGGAAGCCGAAACATGCCGAACCTTTTGTCATGTGCAAGAACCGTTTTGCTAGGCAGTGCCGGGGATGAGCGTTCACGGAAAAGTCCAGGAGCGTCACATAATTTAGGGCGCCACACTGTGTCCCAAACACACATTTCAAAAACCAACTTCGAATCAGGGAAAAATGTATGTGTATATATGTATGTGTATATATATATATATAAATATATTTCTATAACAGGAGATCAGCAGGAAAACCCATACTCCGATGCCCAGTGGCCATGGGGACAAAAGGGGCCTCCTTTTTTGGTTGGTTGAGTTTAGAGGGAACCCTTCCCTAAAAAAGAGGAAAACAAACGCGCCACTGGGCCACTGAGCAACCCATAGAACAATCCGGGAAACCAATGGGGAAAACACCGCCACTTGGGAAATGCCCCTCATTTCTTGGGGGACACCCCCCCCCCCTTGTTGCCTGTTAACAGATCAGCAGGAAAACCCTTTGGGAAACAAACAATTCCGTCGACTCAACTCCGTTAACAGATGAGATGAGCAGGAACACCCATCGGAAGAAAAAAACAAAAAACGAATCCGTGGACGCTAAGCTCCTGCTGCAACTTGTCGGTGATGGCCATGACCAGGCGCACCGCGATGTCCAGAGACTGCAGGTCCAGCTCGCCGCCTCGAGCCAAGCACTGCCCAGAACAGATGTGGCAGAGATCCCCTGCAAACCAACGGGGACACATAACAACTATGCTGAAACCCAATTGGACGGCCATAATTGGCCAAAATGGCCTATTCAAAATTGGCTATTCAAAACAACAAGAAGGAGCGATGTCCAATCTTTAAGGGTCGTTTGAGGGTCCAGGTGCGTCATTTGGGCATCTGTGTTAATTTGGGACCCCACACAGCGGACATCAGAATTCGGTGGATTCGGAGTTCTGTCCACCAACCATTTTTGAGGTGGTTCCCTGTTTAACCATTTTTGTTTTTTGGCTTGTGGGGTTGGTTCAGAGGGAAACTAAAAGGAACCCCACTTGTTTGGAGAGTGCCCCTATGTTAAGACACGCCCATGTCCACTCCCTGGAATAAGCCAGTCGGATTTGCTACGGGAGTGTTACTGCTACCCCATGCTACCCTCCAAAAGTGATCTGGATGCCCTCCAAATTGGGACACCCTTTTTTTGTTTCTCAACCAGGTGTTGGAAATAAACCAGTCGGAGGAGGGACACAGCCATGGACAAAATCCACAAAATGTACCAGCTGGGAGTTGCGGCTTTCTCAACCAGTATGCACAAGGTTTCATCCATCCCAACGGGTGCAGGATTTGGTTCATCCATAGGAGGTGTTGTTTCCCCCCAAGTGATCGGGATTCGCTCATTGGAACGGACACCCCGTTCTTATTTCAGCCCAGGGCTGAGAAAAATCCTGGGCTCCGATTCTCAAAAGAAAGGACTGCAGGGGGTCCAACAGGCTCGGGAGCTGTTAGTCGTACTCCAGACTCACCCGGGCAGTTGCAGTAGGACTACATCCCCCTCGCGCCACATAGTGGGTTCAAAAAAGCAGGGGGCTAAACGGCGGGTGTTTTTTCTTTCTTTCTTTTTTAAATAATAACACGTAGAGGCAGAGGGTCCAGCGGTTGAGCCCCAGTCACGACGACCCGGTCGATCAGCAGAGTCTTCAAACGGCACCTGCAAACCTAAGCTGCAAACATATGGCCTTTGAGAACACCTCCTTTCAATGAAAAGGTGGAGATGAATCCTCAAGTGATGTCCAAGCACTTAAATTTCGCACTCAACTTGTTCTACCCTAAGGCTAGTGGTTTCATGCAGCAACAGCCGGAGCAATCTCCTCAAGAGACTCGGTCCAGGCTTCCCCGCCCGCAGCTTCAGCAATGCAGCCTAAGGCCTGGCGCAGCGGCTGCGAACAAAGGGCCTTTGAAGGAAAGCCGAAAAGGAAGCCCAACATGGGGATCTGTCAAATTACCCACACAAATGGATGTTGTGCTTTCTGTTTTTGCAGAATGGGTGTCTTGTCTTGGAGTTGGTACCCCTTCTTTGGTGGCTTTTGAAGGAAGGCCCAAAGGAAGCCCAGCATTTTCGGCTCCGAAAAAAACATGGGGATCCGTCAAACTAGGACCCAAACAATTAGAGTTCATGCTGTCTGATTCTAGGAGACCAAGGTGAGGCTGAGCCTCAAGGAAGCCCTGCGCCCAAATGCAACACGGCCCCTAGTACAACTCTGACATGTTGCTGTTGGGCATTTCCTCTCAGGCAAGCAGGCACTGATCCTGGACGGCAGTACGGTGGCGAATCGATAAATTGGGCCAAGACCAAACAGAGCCATTTTGGCCCATTGCTTTTTACCTACAGCTTGGCAGCTTGGCTAGGACATGGAAGTATTTCGTGACTGGAGCGAAGAAACAATCTCGAGAGGATTTCCATGGAGTTCCTGTCAGGTTCTTGGAGTTTTCTTGGTGAGAGGATCTCGAGAGGGTGGTTTGGGGAATGCCTTCCTCTTTGAGCCAATCTGAAAGCTCGCCAAGGCCATGATGACAATGTGTATTTTGGGAGTCCGTGACTTCGGGCAAATCGCAACAAGGGCTCAGGGCCCCGCATCTAAATTTTAATCTTCGATTCACGCGCAAAGAAAAGGTTCAGGGATGGATGCCCAAGAAGGGTATTCATGTCTTTTAAGCCAACAGCCCCTTTGCCCCAAGTAAAGCCCCGGCCCGAATCTTCCGCCCAAGAATGCGCGAATGCGCGCGCGAATCGAAGGAGGCGCCTCGCTGTAGTCCTGGACTCCGAAGCAGGTGTTGATCTTGGCCCAGAGGTCCGGCACCTTCTCCTTCCACTCCGCCGGAGCCTCGGCCGGCTGAACGCCGTAGACGGAGGCTACGGGGGGATGGGGGGGGCTGTTACTGATGGAGAAAAAAGTAACTTAACCCAGATCTCTGAAAAGGGCCACCATGACCAAAGCTTCTTCTGTGGCTTCCTCCGCAGAACCCTGATCACGATGGTCTAAATTCCCTGTTGAGAGGTTCATGACCGTCCCTAACCCGAAGCAAAGCGATTTTCGACTATGGCACATGTGGATAGACTGCGGAAATACACAAACAACAAGAGAAGAAAACAGCCCTCTTTGTTCATTCTCTCACGACCCTATTGGGCACCAGGGAGTTCTGTTTTGGGGCCCATTGGACCTCCCTGTGATGCAGCTCAGCCCGCGCGTGCCTGAAACTGACCTCGGCCTCGCCAGGTGACTTCACCACTGTCTCTAAGGAAAATACGCCTGATAGTGGAAAAGCTCAAAACATCGGTTCAAATTGAAAGTGGGACAACAAAAACCCATCGTTGCCCTAGTTGTCCTTAGTCCTGGCCTCAGGTCCCTGCTTTCACCAAGTATGGGGGGAACTCGATGCTCTGCCGCGCCATCCGCGAAATCGGCAAAAACCCGCCCTGCGGCACCTCGGCTGGAAACGAACAGGAGCGGAAAAGAAGGGCGCCGAATGGGAAGGTCACGGGCAAAAGGCTTGGACACTCTAGACTGATCTCTTGCAACTGGCTGGTTTTGAAGATCTGAACATGACGCAAGGACTCTGTTGCTGACAGACTGGCGCTTTCTTCCACAAACAGCCAGGCAGCCAGCCAGTCAGCAAACACCACACCGCTCTCGCGGTGACTGAGGTGCGGACCCAAAGTCGCTTGGTCTTGTCACTGACATACTCCTCTGCAAGAAACTGCATTGAAGCCGGTGTCATCCTCGCTCAAGTGACAAATTAATCCCCTTCCGAGTGACAAACTAGGCATGGGACGGGAATCAGCCACCTTACCACAAAAAGGGGTTCCGCAAAAGATGCGTCAGCTAACCACCTCCGGGGATTTCCCAACTCAGCGAGATTCCAACATGGGCATAGCGCCTTGAAATTCCCATGCGCCAGTCCGGCTCAAGCCTCTCTGCAGGAGCCTCATGCCCCGCAAGGCAGTCAGTCCTTGATCACCGCCTCACGAAGCAAGATCGGGTAGATGTGGTCGTACAAGCACCGAGTGATCCAAGAAGCGTGTACCTACGCATCCGCAAGTGCATGGGATTCGCCGAGGCAAGCAACAGCTTGCAGCTTGCATCATACAACCATTCGTGCAGCACCCTAGAGGTCCAACGAGTACCCCTCTTCGAACTCGTAAGCCGCTTTCTCGCCAACTCCCAAACAGAGACGGCAGAAGGAATATATGAAAGGACCTGCCAGGGTACCCTGAAACGTGACGTTGCAATAATTTGCAACCAAACTAATTCCTAGACATTATTGTGCTGATTGTCTAACTTCCAATGGGTGTGCCCTTTTGAGGATACCCTCTTTTGGGGGTTGCTGTGGTCCCGCTCAGGGCAACAAAGTGCATGGCGTGCTTGTATGTTCCTTTTCTTTTTTCCGGGGCCAGCACTCAGGCCAGCAAAAAGCAATCACCCCACAGCGATGGATGTGATTTGTGTGCCGGTCGCGTTTTCTGGGTTTGTTTTCTGTTTGATGCAACGCATGAGGCGTCCTTGCAAAACCTAAAACTCGACAAATTGCGGTCAAAATCAACCTTGCGTGTTTTTTTGTTTGTTCTCGGGGGAAACAACTGTCTAATCCCTGGGCCTCTCTCTCTCTCTCTTGCAACGCAGCCTGTCCGGTCAAGCTTAGCGCGGCTTCACAAATCCGGGGTTGAACTATGGCCATCCCAAAAATCAATATCCACAGCGCGGCCCACCTCCCTCTTCGCATCTGGAAGGCTAGTAGCCCACTCCTGCCGGAATCGCCAAACATTGCCAACCCACTGCACGTCCGACTATGGGGGGGTTAGGGGGGGGTACCGGGAAAAGTTCCAGCGCCCATGTTCCCAGGCGCCATGGGAGGGAAACTCACCAACCCGAAGCCAGAAATCAACCCCGCAGAAAGGCAGCGGCACCCGGCACGTCTTCATGCCGTCCTTGCCCTTTCAAGAACAATAGAGTGATGAACGGGCGGATGGGGACCCTTTTGTTCCAACCAATCTGCTTTTGATTTACATGGTTGCTTCTTGGGCGCAAAAAAATGTTGAGGGTCAGAAGAAAAGAACGCCGGCCCTGACATGCTCAAGATGCCCAGCGCATGGCTTGACCCTGTGACATCGCTGAAGGGATATCCTCCCCGAAATGAACTGAGACCCAAAACCTGCTGACTGTTGGTTCTACTAAGATGGCTGTAATTACAGGTTGATATAGGTGTGTTTTCTTGGGTTGTTCCTTGGTTCTTCTTTGGGTATCCAACTTGGGGTCCTCCATCCGCTGGAGCTGCTCGTTCAGCAGGCCATTCTCCGGCTTCTCTGAGAGGCCCAAGCTCTCCTGAGGCTGGACCCATGCGCGTTTTTCCGAGCAACCTGTTTCCAGGGCAAGCCAAGAGGTAAACCGGAGGTCCAGCACGGGCTCTCCAACACCTGGTGCAACCCTCCCGGAACCCCGTCGAAACCCAGCCGGAGGGGGGAGCCCGGGGCCCGGTCCAGAAACCGCCGCGGCAGCCGCGCCGCACCTGCGGCAACGGACACCTTAGGACACTCGCCTCCAATTTCCCTCGAAGAAAAAGTTTTTTCTGGTCGAAACCAAACACCGCGACACCAGGACTCACAGCCACACTTGGTATATGCATGTGGATTCTTCTGCCAAGTCAAACCCTTGGCAAATATCGTTAAGAAACAACACGGGGGGATTTATCGTCTAAATCCCAAGCGTGAAACCGACACGAAGGAATCCACACCTCCTCGCGCGGAGGTGAGGCCAATCAAGGGTCTCACCTCAGGAGGCAATGGAAAACCACGTCAGCCATGTTTGTCAAAACAAAAACAGAGTGGCTGTTGCTTTTTAAATAAGTGTATTGGTTTTGGACAAAAGCCATGTTTATCTATAACTTTGAGCAAGGTGGACATAATTGCTAGGCATGATCAAGAACCGAAGTGGGTGATTCCCATGACGACTTTATCACTTTAAGGGGACTTGTTTGGCAGTTGACACAGAAACTGGCCCTAACACCCAATTCACGAATCGCGAACCTAAGCGGGCTTGTCTCAAAAGTAGTGGACGAAATCCTCGCCCATCGATCGACACCAGTTGGGATGGGTGAAACGTCGATATCGCGAAATCTCAACTGGTGCCTGGGATGTTTGTCCACGCGAAATCACCCCTGAAGTTGATCCTGACTTCCTTTTGGGTGTCCCCTAGAAGAGCACCATCCGGAAAGGGGTCTCGTGTTGAGACATCTCCAGCAGAGTACTGCCTTGGGCGACCCCCTCCTTTTTCAAGACAATTCCGGGGCAACAAATGCTCGTGGTTTTTTGTGCATCCCATCCCAAGTCAAATTTCGGCCCTCACAGTACCCGCAGGTCCTCGGCACATGTCAACTCACAGCTTCCGGCCAGAAGCCGCTTCCGGGCGGCTTCGCCTGGGTGCCCCGCCATGCCGACCAGAAACTCCTCCGAGGCCAGCCTCACCTGGGGGGGTTCAGCCCAACCGAAGAACCCTCGAGAGAGGTGGTTCCAGGGGGTACCTTCCATTTCCATTCTTTCCAGGGATCCGAATCTTTTCAGGAAACCATCAAAAAAACTCAGGGGAAACAGCCGGTTTTTGAAAAGAACGGAACCAACCCCTAGAGTGGTGTTTCCTCATGGTTCTCCCTTCACAACTCCCAAAAAAAGGGTACCCTCAAAGACGACAACCTCATGGGCATTAATTTTCGTTAGGGGCCCTTTGGTCGACATCCTTTAGGTGGGGATCTATGTCCACCAACCACGTTTCAGGAAGGTTCATGGGCCAAAGTCCGATGCGCGAACGGGCAGCAGTCTCTTGAAGCTTGAACGTCAACACGAAGGCAGCCATACGGCCCAGTCTTGACACTAGAACTGTGCCACTGTCAAGTCTATGAAGGGCTGTCACATTTCTAGCCACGTGCCTTTTGTTTCTGATGCGGCCGTCCAACCGATGACTAATAAGCGGAATCGAGCGAACCCAAGAAATTGGGAATGCGTCGAGTGGGAAGAATCCAGACCCCCCCCCAAATAAACCCTTACCTCTAGGCCTCCCTTGACCCCACTTCCTGAGTGGCTTGGACAAAAAAAATCACCCCAAGAATGGTCCAAACCCAAAAAGTGAAGAAAGCCCGAAACAAGTGGGTGACAGCCGGATCACACACACCCTCCAAACCCCGCCAAACCCCCCCAAACCCCAACCCCCCCCCCCCCACCTCCCGCCCACACAGCCGCATCGGACCCCCCAAACCTTTGCCCCCCCCCCCCCCCCGGAACCTCCCCCCCTCGCCTCCTCTGCGCAGCAGAGTCCCGAGGTGGCGCCCCGCCAGGGGGCCTCCGGCGGCCAGCCGCCGGGCGCGCTGAGGGGCGGCAGCCAGAAGCAGCGCTTCAGCTTGGACTGGATGGACATCAGCTGGTCCCCCGACCTCGGCGGCAGATGTTGGTCCGCCACAGAAGGGGGAACGCACAATAGATTTTGTCGGTTGTATACATCTCTCTCTCTCTCTCTATATATATATATATGTGCATATGTTGTACATATGTATACAGACATATGTCTTGTATATATATATATGGATATGTTTGATAGGGGTTCCGGATTTTTTGGTGGTTGTTGTCGGCCAACAAAAAAAGGGGAAGCCCAACAAAATAGGATGAGGCTCTGTTTGTTCTGAGTTGCTACCCACTTTTGGGAGGATGAGTTTGATACATCGGCTCATTTTCCGACCTGAAGTCGACTCCTGTTGTGTGGGGAGGCACCCTTGTTGTTTATGAGCTGGTGAAAAAATATTTGGCTGTTTGATGTTGCATGTGGGCGTGTTGTTTGGAGTTGGTATCCTTTTTCGTGTTGCTTCAAAGGGAAACATAGAGGAAACCCACAATTTGTGTTGAAGATACGATTTTGTTGGATGATTCTAGAGGGAACTTCAGAAAAACGAAAGGAAAAAGAGTGCCACTGGACAACTGGGCGTCAGCTTCTGCTCGCTCTTCTTCTCCTGTCCAGGATCACAATGTGGGTGTCAACACTACCCAAAAGCAGGTCCCCCCATGCAGTTGTCTGCGATGCATGGTGTAGTCCACAATGTGCAGTCCACAATCAAACATGGTTTAGATGCCCAAAGAAACAAATGTATTTGCCACCAACAGGGTTTTCCCAACAAGTAGCAAGTTCATAAACTCGGGAAGTGAGATATCAGACATTCCTTCACACGCAATTCAAAAGGAGGCACCCACCGGCTTTTCTCGGATGCAACTCTTCTTGGCGGTCAAGGTCGAGCAAACAGAAACAATGAGCCCAGACTTTGGGTAGACCAAGAGAAAATACTGTTGGCCCCACCGAAAGCAAACAAACAAAAAACACAACGGGACATGGACTAGTTGCTATTTTCCACTGCATGCATTGTTTCGTGTATTTGCTTCTTTTAATGTAGCTCAAGGCATCCTAGCCCTCTGTTTGCTTTGGAGATTGAGCCTTTGAAATGGAACTCTGCCTATTGACCCGCAACAATTGATTTGCACTGAAGGCGTCAGACAGGTCAACCTCCCCAAAACCCAAGGGGTTCCAACAAGTTTGGCCGCTTCATTATGGGACCTCTGTAGGTCTGGAAGCATTTACTCTCATATGGAACCTAACTGAGGGGGTCCCGGTGTGGACCATCTTCCCGTTATAAACCTAGAACACAGATTGGGTGCGTTTCTCTGGATTCCCCCTGGTCGTTTCCCAGTTGATCCTTCTTTTACTGCTCTTTTAAGACTCTTTTGCTCTCCCATCCCGCGTGGGGCATTCCTCTGGTGGGCTCCAACTGTCCCAAGGCCCGACGGTGGACCCTGGCCTTGGTGTCGGTCATGAAGTCGAAGGGCCAGAAGCCTTCAGACTTTGGGGCCTGGCGACGTGAGTCAAGCTCCATGCTGTTGGGGGGGTTTGGGGGGAGGGGGGGGGTGTTTTTGAGAGGCTGCCCTGCTCCTTTTTTTGACAAAAGGAAATCAGAAAGGAAAGCGGAAACCGGCCGTGTGGGGTGGTCACCCCAAACAAAAACCGAGACCTCAGCTTTTTGTCGGCCCATTTCGACCCACGCCCAGCCTTCGGGGTCTTGGACTCGTCCTCCATGGCCGGGCTCACATTTTCGCAGACGTAGCGCACCAGCGCTTGGGCGACTTGCAGCACCGCCGGCGCCACCTCGGGGGCCTGGAAGGCGCCGGGGAGGAGTGGGAGGAACCTGAGGAATCAGATGAATCTGAAACCAGCAGTAGAGGAGTTTTAGGTTTAACGTTGGTTCAGATATGGCTTGAGCATAGTTTAGGGAGTTTCACATATGGTGTAGGTTTTAAAGCATAGTTTCATCATGGTTAAGCCTGGAGGTACCAAATGGCGCAGGTTTGGGCAAGTAAACAACTGGCTAATTAAGTCTGCCAATGTAATTACGGGCCCCAAATAGATTGTGGGCTGGTCCCCCCCCCAGTTTGAAGGGAATACTAGTTGTCTTCATTCTCGGCATACCCTGTCATTTCCCCAAGCCCATCTGGATCCCTTGGCGTCTGGGGTTGTGGTTGATTGCCTTTCCACCCGACTCATCCCCGTAGCCTCCCTCCCGGCACATGGCGGCTGACGCTTCTTCTGCAGCCAAAAAAAACAATTTGAGGCAGCCGAATCCACAAACAAACAGACCATGGATCAGTTAAACCATGAGACACAATCACAACCGATAAAGATGTGTCTCGTTTGCGGATACCCTGGAGTTGTTTAGGCAAACCAAAAGGACACCGAAGCCCATAGTCCGATTCCTATTGAGACGCGCCCCGGCCTCCTTGCCGCCCTCACGGCGCTTCACCTGCAGGTCAAGCACAGCTTGGTGAGCTTCAACACCGGCCAAAAAGACGAAATAAACCATGTGCAAGGGAAGCCATCAAACCCGAAAGAGTGGTTTAACCCGGTGTTGATCCCGGCATTCCCAAGGCTAATATGGTTCCATCCATGCTGACTGTTCCACCGTAGTTTTAACATGCGGGTGTCAGAAATACGCATTTTCCAGCCATGTCGAACACAAGAACCCGGAATCGTTTGGAAGGGGCGCGCCCGTATGTCCACTTGCAATAGCTTTGCGCGACTTGTGAGATGCTTCCGTCTTCATGTTTCTAAAGGGCATCGTGTTGACAAACAACAGGTGCATAAAAGCGATGTGTTCAAAACGAGCAATATGCAAAATAGCGCACCCAAACCTGAGGCCGGAAGGGGACACAGGACACGTTGTCGTGGCTGGTTAATGTTGTATTGGCCAAACAGAGCCACCAGAAAAGGACATACCACTCCCACTCCCAGCTCGTACATGTCTCCCTTTAGTTTGCCTCCTAAACCACCTCAAAACGTGTTGCCACCTTCACAAAAAGACACTACCAAAAAATACACGAACTCCTTGCAAACTGATATGGGCGTGCCTCAAAAAAGGGCCTCAAAACAGCTGTTTTTCCTTTTGTGGTTAAGCCGTGGTTCCAAGCCGCAAGCCACACCCATCTGAAAACCTGTTTTCACGTGTTCATCCCTTTTCCCCCCCACCAAAAAAAATGGGAACTCACCCCCCACACCAGCAAAAGGGCCACCTTCACCCTTACACTCATTAAACAGGGAAATCCCCCCAAAACTGTCGAGCCATAGTCCAACTTTTCTGGGTTGTTTCATTTTCCAGCCACTCCCACTCACCGCCCCGCCCTTTGCCGGACCCCCCGGCCCCCCCGGCCCCCCCGGCCCCGACGGCCCGCCGCTGGCCCGGAGCTTCGGGGCCTCTTGGTGGTGCAGAAACCCGAGCCGCTCGGCGAGCTCCTCGTAGCTCAGCGCGGCGCGGAAGCGGAGCAGGGCCCGGCACTCGCCGGAGAGCCACACCGCGTCCGGGAAGGGGCCCTGGCGTATGCCCAAAATGGGCGTGGCTCAAAATGAAAACAGGAGGGGTTTTTACGCATTGGTCCATGCTTCCACTTACCAGGGCAACCCATTTTGGAATTCCGGGTTTTTGAGCCACAGCCAAATGGGCTTACGTTCAGGAATCCGTTTAGAAGAAGTTAGAACTCCTTGGAATCATATAAAACAAATCCTGCAAAAACACCTGGGACACCCCTTGGATGTTGTTTAAGAACCACCAAACAAGGTCCAAACAAAAACACACCATCGAACCCCCCCCCCCCACACCAAACGCCCCAACCTTTGTGACCATTAATTTGCTCATTTTTGCTTAACTTGGTGTATATACGGTTTGTTTGGGGCACACCTCGGTTGGCTCCTCGCCTTCTCGGGGTAGAGGCTCCGCAGCTGCTCCGTGGGCTCCAGCGCCTGGTCCGCGCAGACCATTTGGCCCCCCGCGGTGCCCACGAAGGGAATCCGCTGCAGGCCCTCCAGGCACGGCCCGTGGCCTCCGGACCGAAGCGGATCGGAGCCGCGCAAAAAAAACGCGCAAGGAAGGCGCCCGGGGATGGATCTTGCGCGCGGGTTTTCGGCGGGGAAAAGGGGGATTGCCTTAAAAAGTCATGGAATGTTTAGCTACCCCCTAGCCAACTACCCCCCCCGGAAGTTAATTTGATTGAGCTAAATCAGGCCAAACTCGGACCTTGCCAAGCAGACGCTTTCCATCGTTCAAGCGGCCCAACGCCACTCCCTGGAACCCCGCATAATAGCAGAATGCAAATACTTGGGATTGCGCTGGCGTGTGGTGAGAGCATTTTCTGCACAGCTCACTACTCACCACTGATTGACGCTCACTTTCCCCCACAAAAGATACAAACTATGTCAAAGGAAGGGCCAAACCCTGCTTAAAGTCAAACAGAAAGCAAACCATAAGGCCACCTGATTTCAACATTTGCAATCGAGCCAACATAAGGCTCAAATAAGAGAATTGAAATAAGGCCAAAGTAAGGCCAAAATAAGGTCCAAATAAGGCCCAAATAAGGCCGAAATAAGGGCAACTCCTAACTGCATTTGAAGATTTCTGAAATAAGGCCAAAATAAGGTCCAAATAAGGTCCAAATAAGGCCCAAATAAGGGCAACCCCCAACGGCATTTGAAGATTTCTCAGGCAGGCCAACAGAAGGACAAAAATTTTGTTGCAACACGAAAGGCTCCGCTAGACAATTTCCTCCTGATTCGATTGAAGTCATCTGGAGCGCGTGCTGCACATGTCGTGACTGAGTTTGTGTGTTTCTGAAACTATGTCTTGTTTGGCACCCAGACGAGTCCGGAACCCATCATCCCGTGACATTCACACCTCAGCGGACCTCAGCCCAAAATACGACCAAACTAGCGGTGACGAAAAAGGTTGAAGCACTAGCCCAAATTTTGCCCTTATTATTCTATGCTAACATAAAAATAATGGCTTATTAAGACCCTAATAAGGCCTTAATAAGGGGCTATCCCTAATTCCAGGAGGGGGGGGTAGTCAGCTAGGGGGTGCTTCAACATTCCATGAAAAAGGCGAGAGGAAGGAAGAGGGAATGGATATATAGCCGCCATGGCGCATGATGGCGATCTAAAAAAGGGCAGGAAGAGGGAATGGGCGTGGCAAATGATTTGATCGTTTGCCTAGTTTGCCTGCCCGACTTGCCCCCAAAGACACCTCCAACTTTGATATTTGGGTCTTCCAGAGAAGTTTGGCTGGCGTGTTTGGGGAACGGGATGCTGATTGCAGCCGCACCAGCCGCACAGGCAAACATGCGCCTGTCCATTTTCTGACCCCTCCCCCAATTTAAGTTCGGTTCACAAAGAGAAACCAACAGGAACCCACTCATCTCAGTGCCCTCATCTCCCCAAATAGGGAAGCACACAACAACAGAAGCTGTACACAAAACAGGGAATTCAGTACAACTCTAACTCCCCTTTCTTCCAACCAAAACACGTCACTCCTCCGAAAAACCGAGAAACAAAAAACGCCTGCCAGCTCCATGTCGCGCCAGTGGTAGATGACGGCCCGCATCACCGCTTGCCGGACCTGCTGAGCTGCGCATCCTTCAGAACATATCCTCCCTGAAAAACACCCACTGCAATACAGCTACTTCCAGTAGTGACAGATTCCCTGAAAAAGAAGAAACAAACCCACTGGACAAAAAAAAGACATGCGTATATATTCATTTACGCAAATGGAAGTGATTCCCAACAGTCATGCGTGAGTTTTGCCGGCAGCCTGCAAAGTGCTGGAAGCTGAAATCACCGACTTGTAAAGCCCTGTCCAACTGTTCGCTGTCTCTGTTTGGGTACCCCTTTCTCAGATAGCTGAAAGCTATAGGGGTTCTAACTTCTAATAAAGAGGGGAAAGTGATTTGCGAGATTGACGGCCCGGCTGGGTGCTAGGGAGCATCAGTCTGCGGTGCTGGTGCAGGTGCTGTTTGGGGCGCTGATTGAGGTGCTGGTGACGTGCGGGCGCATTTTTGCAACATCAACAGCAGGGTGCTAGGGGGCATGCAATCTGGGGTGGGCGGGGCCGGGCGCGGGCGCGTCTTTGCGAAATTAACGGCAGGGGTTCTGGCAGACACGCAGTTTGGGGTGCTGGCGCAGGTGCTGTTTTGGTGGGCCTGGTGACGGCACGCGCGCATTTTTTGCGAGATTGACGGCAGGGTGCTAGGGGGCATGCAGTTTGGGGGCTGGGTGCATTTTTGCAAGGTTGACGGCCGGGTGGTTTGGGGGTGCTGTTTCGTTTTTCGGGTGGTGCTGTTAGAGGTGCTGGTGTGCAGTCATCGGCCTGGTTTTTCGCCATCTGGGGTATGCTGGTGTACTGTGGGTTTGGAGGGATTTCACAGGAAACACCGTTTTTTGTCCGGCTTTCCAGTTTGCTGTTGCTTTGCGCACGACTCGCGTTGGCTTTTCCTTCATGCGGTAGCAATAGGTTGAGCAATTCCATGTTGACGTTTGGCTCACATGTTTTGTGCCAGGGGCAACCTGAGAGGAGGCTCTGGACAAATTCAGTCAGGCACCTCGCTGCCACTCTGCAGCGCCCAGGGGAAGATGTGCTGCAGCAGCACGTCGCACCACCTTCGAAGTTCAAAGAAAGGGAGCCGTCGGCGTTTTGCTCGTGTTGAACTTTGGCAAAAGCTGGCTGGAAGCCGAAGCCTCCCATTTGCGCCAAGTGTGTCAAACAAAGACACCAGCTTCCAGTGATTTGCTTTTTTGTTTAACTTACATGGGGCTCCGAACCCGTTCACCCAAACCCCCTCCAAAGATGAGGCCGATCCAGATCTTGATTCACGAGATTTCGGCTTCACCAAAAGTGGGTCCCACACTTTCATGCCATGGACACTAGTTGAGGCCTGGGTTCAAGACTCCAAGCGGCGGACGCGCAAGCTGCCTGCCAAAACCAGAGTGCCCGCCCCCCCACGGTTCCTGTTTCTTGCTTGCTTCTTTGCTTGCCGCTTTGCTTCGCTTTTTTGCGGGGAGGGCTCGTCCCCCTGCGCCATAGGCGCGCAAGAAGGACACACCTGAAGGCGATTTTGTAGCCAAGAAGCTTCAAAAACCAGCGGTCCAAGCAAAGAGGCTTGTAAAATACAAAGACGAAACCAAAACCAGCATGGGTATGTATCAAAATAGGATTCGGACCTCCAAAATCGCTTCGGTTTTTGCTTTTGGCATCCAATTCAACCCACAACAAAACGAATACCAAGCCTCAAAAACCAAACACACACACACACAGCTGGTTTTCTCAAACTTGGAGAACCCAAGTCTTGTTTTCCTTTTGGTCCCCTTCTAGATTCATACAACGAGGGGTGCCCTCTTTGGCTGTGGGTCAAAACCAATGGTACCATTTTGGGTAGGTGCACCACCCATTTTAGAACCGATTTTAGTGGATTGGGATGTTCATTTGGGGGTACGATTTGGATTTTGACCCATGGCCATATGTGGTTATAGAAAAATCATCACCCCTCAGAAGCCATTTCCCGGCAATCGGCTATGTTTGGGACTATCCCTCACCAAATTATGACTCCAATGTCTTGCTATTTGACTTTTTGTCTATAGTGGGGATTGAATCGGATGTTCACCTACGCTTTGGATTTTACCCATGGCCATTTGGAGAACCCCCGCCCCACGTTGCCCCCCCCCCCAACCCAAAAAACGCGGAAGCTCTCCGCGCTCCGCCTGGGCCGGCTGAGCGCGAGGTCCCGCAGCAGCGCCGCGGCGGAGAAGCCGTCCGCGGTCACCGGTGCTGCTAGCACCTCCTCTCCGGGCTGACGATGCGAGGACCGGACATGGTTGCGGTTGTTTGTTGTTCTTTCCCCCCTAGCAAGACTTTGTTTTTACCAAAACTTGTTTTTTGGCAACTAAAAATAAAACAACATGAAACACACATAAAAGACAGTTGGGTGGGTTTTAGAAACATCAAACCAAGTTTTACAGAAAAACTCAATGGGTGTGGCTCAAAATGAACCAGCACAGGTTTTAGCCCGCTTTTCCGGGGTAAATGGGTCAGCAAGGGAAGCCCTTGAACATTCGATAGAGAATATCATTTGCGACAAAAAGGCTCCTGGTAAATGACATAGAGCCCATCATAGATCCCCTTTAAAACCAACATAACAATATTCGGAAACCACATGGAAGGCCATAAAAACATGGGTCCCAACATAATGGTTGGTGATTCCCCTGTCCCAGGCCTTCAAATGGGACTCTGGCATTCGGTAAGATCCAAAGCAGATGGTTTCTAGGATCGAAAGCTACCGATGTCCGAACCTATTTCTGGCGATTGTGATAATCACATTGGCAGAAAAAAACACCAGCTGCCCCGCAACTTTCGCTGCATTGAGCCTATCTGTCGGCGGCCAACCACTAGTTGGCCATGGTCGCAAGGGCACAAGTACCCAGCACAAAAATTAAAACATTCGTGAATGGGTTTTGGGAGGGCATGGGAAACTCGCCAAGTTTCCTTCAATAGCCGGGGTATAGCAAGTGTTGCCCATGGCACATGGGTGCGCATTTTTGATGGCCGCAAGAAATACACATCGGCACCCACACCAATTAACATGACAGCCGCAAGAAATACTTTTGCGGGTGGAGAAGCCTTCGACATGTACTGAGTCCAAGTAGGGAAATTGGGGCTCCCGCAAACGTTGTATTCCCACCCTAAAACCCTAATGAAATCGTGGATCAACCCTTATGTTTGCCTGGAGCACATAACTTGCTGGTGCTCAGTAGGAAATAAAGGAATGAACCGAGGGGTTTCCTTAAAGGAAACCACCAGTTGGATGGTTCAAAAGGTTGATTCCCTTCCCTACCTATCGCACCAGCAAGATAAGGTCTGTTATTGCACTGGATCAATCTTTTTGGTACCCAATTTTGGTAACACGGGTACATGTTGGTAGCACAGGTACCTGAAACATACCAACTTTGGAGTTACTTACCTCAACAACTCACCCTTTTGCATTCCTGATTCCCTGCCTATCGCACCAGCTTGCGTTAAGGTCTGTCATTCTACTGGACCATTTTTTGTTGGTACCCATTTTTGATAACACTAACACAGGTACCTGAAACATGCCATCTGTAAATGGAACCAAGTCTTCCAAAGCGGTCCTGGGAGCTTCCATGTTAGTCTGGGGGAGGATACCCAATTTTCTGCCAAACCAATTTTGGTACCCAACAGCTCATCTTTTTGCATTCCGAAAATATTCTGGTAATGGAATGTAATGGACCCAGCTTTTTGCTTTTAATACCCAAATTTTGGTACCCCTGATTCCCTTCCCTGCCTATCGCACCAGCTTGGGTTAAGGTCTGTCTTTTTGATGGGCCAACTTTCTGCCCAGCTCGCGCCTCCGAGATCTCCGCGCAGGTCCGGAGCTCCATCTGCGCCGCGCGCAGGGCTGCCACCACTTGAGGGCAGGTCTCTGGCAGGACCCACAGCCTTGGAGCCGCAGAGGTGCGGCCTTTTTCTCGTTTTTGGAGGTTTGTTTGTAAGGAGAGAGCTGGTTTTCTGGGAAAAAAACCACAAGGTCCAGGTGCTGTTTGCTATTTATTTTATTTGTTTTTGGAGAAAGCTGGCTTTCTGAGGAACAAAACCAAGGATTTTGGGGTGTCCACTGTTTTTGTTTGTAAAAACGGTAGCTTTCAACATGGTGAGGTTTCAAAACTAGAGGATCCGCCAGAAATGGCTAGGTCTCTCTTGGGTTGCTTTCAAATGCCTTCAAACTCATCCAAAAAAAGGGGAGAGGGGGTGATCCTCTATTTTTGGAAACACACATTATATCATGTCCAAAAATACGAGCCCTTTTGAAAAGACTTCCTCGCAAATTAACATGGAATCAAACAAAAAGGATCGCCGAATGCATGAGGGCGACTTGAGGTTTAACCGCTCCTGGTGGAGAAAAATATCGCTTTGGCTCTCGGGTGCTTCAACTTGAAATGGGCCCTTCTTACGTGAAGCGAATACCTCTGAGCCCTGTGGCACACCGAAAATCGCAGCCCCGAAATTGCCCTTGAAAGGGCTGAGTCAAATGACATAACCTCATCGTGGATGTTGATCAACCCGCAATGCTCACCTTCGATCCCAAAAACGACACCCTTCGTAGATGTTAAACTTCAGTTTGGTTAAGACCTCTGGGAAAAAAAACAACAACACGAAAAACATATTTCACGTAGCAATAGATTCCCTTTAAAACCAACAGGGAAAATCAACCATATTCCTAAGCAAATGGAAGTAAAGCGCCTAAAGAAGACCATGCTGCCTTTCGCAGCCGGGGAACTCTCCGCCCTTCGCGCTCTCGGATAGAGAGATATACAGACTCGGCCGGTTGAATCTGCACAACAAGGGCAGACCCCTTAACACCTCGCAGTGACATTTCCAGTTCGCGCCGGTGAGATTGCACAGGCACCCCTCCTTCATGGTTCTGGAAATCAACCCATGTGATGCCATGGAGAATCCTGACTTCTAGAAGTCACCAGGTTTCCCTGTCAAGTGGGCCTACCCAACTTGGGTGTATGTCTTTGTAAGGCGAAGGGTACCCTTTTTGGGTTGGTTTGAAGATGTTTGAAGGGAAGCCAAAAGGAAGCCCGCCCGCTGTTCGAGTCCGAATCCCCAATTTTGACACTTACCCGTCCTTGTGCACGGTGGCTGCCATGGACAGGAGCGCCTTGACGTGTTTTGCAGTGAGGTTCTTGCAAAGGTTGGCAAAGAGCGCGTCTGATGGATGCTTCGCCTTGGGGGTTTTCTTTCCGGCGAAAACAATCGACGGAAACCCTCAAGAGGGGTTCTCAACATGGTGGGAACCCTTGGTTTGGTAGCTAAAAGGAGAGCTCAAGGAAACAACAGATTTTCGGCAGGCAGCCCTGCGTCGCTTTGGAGCGGCCTACTGGTCCCCTGTATGTACTCGTCCCTGGCACCCCTGCTTTGAGAAACACCTTTCGGAGACTCGACACACAGGGCACCGACCCCAACGCCTGCGGGCCAACAAGGAGACTGCCGGCATAGTGCATGCTCCGCAGCAGCCCCTCGGGGCTGTTCGCATGCACACAGGTGCGCAGCTGCTTCTCGTGGTGCGCAAGTAGCCAGGGGGGCTCCATCACAGGCTGGCAGTGCAAGCGGAGCAGCAGCTCTTGCATCAGCGACCCTTGGGAGTCACTCGGACTCGGCACTCCCTCCGTGGGATACCCGGAAGCGGTGTCTGCTTCACTGGCAGTGGCAGCAGGGGGAGCTGGGGCAGAGGGAGCCGCAGTGCCGGAGAAGAGTATCAGCTTGGTGGCCTCTGGAATGCGGAACAGGCCCACGGATTGTTCATCACCCACGCTGGGGATCAGAGGCCAGTACACCATCCTGGACAGCGGGATGTCTTTGTCATCCAGCCACTTCCACATGGCCTGCAGCCAGTCTTCCACCCACTCCTGGGTTGAGCCGAGTGCCATGCTAGTGGGTGAGATTGTTCAGGTGAAAATGATAAATGTTGACAGTGAGAGGTTAGCGTCTAAACCCAGGTGTTCTTTTGTTTGTGTGTGTGTGTTTGAAAAAGACCTGGTTTCTACAAAAACACAACAACAACAAAAAGTGAATGTAAAAGTTGTTTCAGCTTGAACTCATGAGAGAACCCAGGAAACTCGAACAAGTCCAGTTGCCACCCCAAAGTTTTTTGCACCGCCTACCCTCAGAAGTCTACCCTTCAGCCCATGGCAGCCCGCAGCTGGCTTTCGGGCAATCGCCTTATGCCGGGCGAATTTTTCGGAGCTTCCATGTCGCCGTTCAAGGCTGGAAAGTGTAAAGGTGCAAACTTCCCAGTTGAAAGGTCAAAATTGAAGTCGAAAAGGTCACAGTGCCCAGTTGACAAGGTCGACGTTTCGAAAACGGCAGGTCAAAAGGTGGACAGATCGCGCCCAGCTTCGATGTAATCCGTCACAGCCACTTTGGGCACCCGGTCGTTCCAGGTCCTGGGCAGCAAGCGCTGCAGGGCCTCGGTGAGCAGCTGGAAGTTCACGAACTTGCACTGGAAGGACGGCACGCTCGCCGCCTGCCATGATTTCTGGTCATGTTTCGTGGCAGCCGGGAGCCCCTTTTCGCCCCAAGGATGAGAAAACAAATCGGTTTTCTAGGGGTAACTTCCATTTCCATTCTGAACCCAGGGATTGCGGATCTTTCTAGAAAACCACCAAAAACCCTGGGGAAATGGCTGTTACGTTTTGGGGTTTGATGTCTCTGTAAAACCTGCGAAAGGGGCGCGGGGTCCCGGGGGAGGAGTCAGTAATTACACAAAGGTGGGCATGTGTCAAAATACTGAGACCAAAAGCGAGTGGTGTCCTTCTGCGAGGGTCTACAACAGTAGCATGGGGTTGTGGGGTGCTTCAACACCAAGTTTAGTTATGATCATGAGAGTATACTACTAGTAAGTATTGCCCGTGTGGCCCTCAAAACTGGGTCGCGCTACCCTCCCCCCCGAAGCACAAGGTCTAACCCTTCGTGGGTCTAATGGAAAGGTAATTTTCTTTCAAAGGGTCTTAGGGGCTAAGGACACCCCAGAGACTACCCAAAGAATGGAAAAGCAATTTGCTTGCCAAGAGGTGGTCACACCAGAGGGGCATGTGTTTTTTTCTTTTTCCTGACCTGTCCAAGTCATTTCTTGACCTGGTTGCAGCTGGTTTGTCTTTTGTTGGCCTGGTTCAAGGTTTGTTTTTACACCAAAGCCCGCCCGAAGCTTGGCCCGGGCCTGCGGATTTTCCCACTTCGCCGCCATCTGTTTCAGCTTGGCCCAGACCAGCGGCCGCGCTTCCAGCCGGGATGCTAAGATCAGCTTCCGCCCGTCCTGTCGCTTAGGGAACTCAGAACCGGGAAGTGTCTTTGGGTAGGATGGCACTGCAACATTAGTTAAGATATTAAAGCTTCTCTATGATGTTCGGTGAAGCTTCTATTTGTTCAGTGAAGAATCAAAGCTACTATTTGTTCTCCTATGACAGTGCCGTTCATCATTTCTGTCATTCCCAGATGAATCTCCGGACTGCAATCTGAGCACGACAGGAATCAGGTTCCCCGCTAGACAGAGTAACCCCGCCTAAAATATTTCGTTCATGTCCCTAAGAGGGGAACAACCACCCTGATTAGTCTGGTGGTCCTCCGCTCAATCCGAAGTTAACATATGGGTGTGGCTCAAAATGAAAGACTTAGGCCGGGTGCACGTTTTAGTTTTTGTTGCCAGTCAGCCAAGGTGCCATTTTAGTGCATTTCTTGAGCCACAGCCATCTGGCAACCCCCCGGCATCCTTGTTGGGGAAGAGGCGTCGCTCCAGCGGGCTCTGCGGAACCAGGGCAGCGACGGCCTTTTCCTTGTGCGAGAAGGCATGGACCATGGTCTCATCCTCACCTGGGCGCCCCGGAAATCCAACATGTGCAACACAGGGATTCAGACTTTTCCCCCTCGAAATGTCGGGTTTCCTAATAGTTACTCTACTGAAAACCAAGCTTTCAGCTTGCCTCTTAGTGGTCTGCCGCCTTGGAGGAAACCCTATGTACCCTCCAGATCCAGGCGTTCATACCCTGCCCAAAGGACCAAAGATCAACCTTTTGGAGCCTTGACTAAACGTGGACCAAAACTGGACAGCAAAATCAGATTCAGACTGGACGGCCAAAGCTGACTACACCAAAAGACCAAACGACCAAAAGACCAAAAATAAGCCAAAACTAGACGCTCAACAATTTGTCCTTCATTTGCCAAAGTCCCCTGAAAAAAAAGCAAAACAATCCAGTAGTGATGGATTCCGCTTCAAACCCACAGGAGCAAATGACACATATTCTTAAGAACGTGGAAGAAATTGGACGAGGATTCGCGTTCAAGTTGCATATCAGCAGTGGCACATCCTGAAGATCCGCAGCCAGCCCGTCGCTCAAGCAAAACTCCAGGAAGTCTGCCACATCCTGGCAAACGTTGAAACCCACGTGTTCCGCCCAAATACAAAACATGTTTTTTTGAACTGGTGGTTTATACACCTTTGGTTTCTACAACCTCCTTAACCCCTTGCTTAGGCCGATATTCCCAAGTTTGGTTCAAACGAGCTTCGTTTGCTTAAGCCTTGCGACCCTGGCCGCCTTTTGGCGCTAGGAGGTTTGCCATCAATTTCATGGAACGCGACTGAAGGTTGACCCCATATTAATCAACCCCAGTGTACTGCTAGGGGGGTGTCTCTGGGTTTAGTGGGGAATCATCACTTTTGGAGGGGAACACCCCCCTATTGATGAACCGGGATTGATGGGGTCAACATTTAACCACTTGTTGGTTAAAAACCTCTTTTAGGTGTTCCTTTCAAAACCCAGAGCCTGGTTGTTTGAACAAGGGCCAATCATGTGTGGGAGACTTTGAACATTAAGACCAGGGATTACAACAGAACATACCTACCGGGACTCAACATCTTTCAAGTGGGTTCCGTGGGCTTGTTTCTGGTTTTTCGCCGGGAGGGCAATGAATTGAACAAAATACAATATAGCCGGGGATCCCCTAACCCTCCGATCGCCAGCTTCTGCAAATTAGCCAGGTGGGAGGGTAATGAACTAACAAATGACAACATAGCTGGGGGAACTAGAGCTTTAAACACCAAATTCCGACACTAGCATGAAGCACTGGCCCAGCCCCACCCTGGTCACTCCAACCGTGACTCCAAATTTCGGGAAGCAAACTATTTTAGGGGAAACAAGAGGGAAACCAACTGTGACAATCTTACGGGCCCCTTATCGTAATGCTTTTAATATTGCCAGATCTGTTCACTTCGAAGGAAAACAAAGGAAACCGTTTGGCTACCCTGCTTCTAACGATCGGACAAGTCTCCAGTGCGCACCCCAAACAGCAACCATTACGAACCCGAAATCTGTCACGAGCCCATGTTTGTTGAGGCAATCCCCCATTTGTTCGGTCGCTTGATACTAAACACCAAGCATTTGCGGGTGGAACAGCCATGCTCCCCCCGCCATTTGGGTGTGGGCCAACATTAAATCACCAGAGCACAGATTCTAGTCCATTGTTTCGCTCATTTGCCAGGGCAAGCCATGTTGGGTACCTACTTTTCACCAGCCGGTTCTAGGCGGCTCGAGGGTCTCCTTGGGCTTCAGCTGTGCGAAGATGGAGGTCCCGCTCGACTCGTCCAGCGCGTGGCTCGGCGCCCCTTTGCCCAACGCTCGCAGGTGCTGCCTGCGCGGCGCGCGCGGAAGGCGACGCACAACACGGAGGGGTGTATCGGAGGCATGGGGCGCAAGAACAAAAATGGCGATGGGTCAACACCCAAATCGGACCCCCAGTGAACATCCGATTCAATCCCCACTAAAATAGACTCCCACAGCCATATATATATATATATATGCGTACTGTTGTTTTATACAAAAAGTGGTGTATAAGGGATGGGCAAGACAAAGTACGGAGTGTGTGCGAGGGTAAGGGCCGTGTAAGGAGTCTTTGACGGTATTTGAAGGGGTGTGCAAGAGGTGGATGACAGGGTGGTCCGACGTCAAGTAGGGCGTTTTGACCGTAGCAGCTATGTACCTCCAAGACGAAGCTGCCACTTTTTACTCCGCGGGAACCCCAAACAGTATCCCAGCAAGGTGGAAGGAGATGGCACGATTCCTTGTGGTTAAGCAAAGTGGATGTCTAAACAAAAACAATCATTTCATACAACCACCATTGCTGGTCACCCCTTGCAATGACATGAGTGCTCACATGAACTTCTACCGAGTTGAATGGACGAACCTCTGCTGTCCCGAAAATGCCACTCTGTCCGGTCTGAAGCCCCACTCAAATCGCAATGGAGCAGCGATATGCGTGACAAGTCTGTGTTCAAGTGGGACAATCAGCTCTTCACTTGTTGCAGTCTGCTCAAACGCATCGTCAAACCTTTTCGAGGACTTTTTAAGGGTAACCTTTCAGCGAGGGAAGCCACCACCAATTGAAAAATGATGAATAATGAGATGAGCCTTGGATGCCGAAGTTGCCCAATTGTAAAATGGTTTCCCTATTTTCAGGAGGCCATCCCCCCCACGGAGAAAGATGCCGAAGTCGGAGTTGTCCAAAGAAAACATGGGAAGCCCATTGGCATCCCCGCGGCTTCCCACCGAAAGCCTAGGAAACCTGTTGGAAACTCATGGCTGTGTCCTCTTGTTGGGCTTGGTACCTGTTGTCGAGTGGTTTTCAAAGGACACGCAACAGAAACACCACCAACCCTGGTCTGGTGCTCCCCCCACCAAAAAAAAAGAAAGAAAAAGACCCACCCATCTGGAAAAAACTTCCATGGGACACCTGGTGCATTTGCATCCCACGGGGCGAACCAAAAGAAACACCTCCATTTTGGTGTGGTGCCTCCCCAAAATGACCCACCCATATGGGTGTGGGTCAAAATTGAACCACCAGGGGACTGCAAATTCCAGTCCATGTTTCCATTTACCAGGGCAAGCCATTTTGGGGTTACCCTATTTTTGACAACCACTGCCATATGGAAAACGTCCATAGGACGCACCTGGTGCATCTGCGTCCCTCGGGGCTGGCCTCAGCCACGCGGGCGTCAGGATGGTGGGCTTCCGCTGCTCCGTGCGCCCGAAGGAGTCAATGACCTCCGGCGGCGCGTCCACACACGGCACGCCGCAGCGGAGCAAGGCTTCCACCACGCTGTCCAGCAGGGCCTCACACGGGTTTCTTGGGGTTGGTTCCAATTCCATTATTTTCAACCATCGCTCTTTTCAAAACCAGCTGATTTTTCCTGGGGTTCTGATGGCTTTCTGGAAAGAAGGATCCCTGGAAAGAATGGGGAAGTGTTTTCTAGAGTGTTTAGAACCAAAAAACAAGCAAAGCAAACAAATGATAAAGGCTCAGATGCCCAGTGGCCAGGGGAAAAAATGAACTCACAAAGACACAAATTGGAATACGTTTCACGCAGGGGGGTTGTGCTTCCAACCACCAGACCTTTGTATTGTGCTCAGTGTACCTTCTATTGATGGCTCAAACCAGAGGTGAGTTGCAAAGGAGAAAAAGAAGGTCTCCTTTTCTCCGGAGGGACCCTAGGTACGCATAGTAAACTGCCACGCGAAGCATTTGGTGAATCATGTCGCGCCAATCTTTTGCCGGACCAGCCTGGGGAACTTGCTCGACTGCCGCATTCCCCGCCGGCACGAAGACGGCCTCTGTGATCTTCACCCACCTCTCCGGGGGCGCCTCGCGAGGGAGCGGTGCGCCAGCGGTCGCCTCCTTTCGTTGTCGCTGCATCCCGCTTTTCGGTCAGACTGGGGTATGTCAAAATAGGCCCCCCCAAGAAAATGATGGTTTGCTGTATATTACATTATATATATAGATATATTATATCTATTACGCATATCCATTGATTAGTCTTCTTTCTTCGCTGCATTCTCATCCGGGTCCCTTGCCCCCCCCGAGCTTCCGCTCTCCACCGCCCCCTCCCCCCGTGCGTGACTCGCCTCGACCCGCGTCTGGCGGCCGGCGGGCGCCGCCACGGGCAGCGGGAAGGAGCTGCCGTCCAGGAGCCGCGCGTAGAAGCTCTTGGCGATGCGGTCCGGCGCCAGAGCGCCGCCCTGTCGAGCGCGAGTACGCGCGAGCGAGCGCCGGTTTGGTTTGGGTTCGTGCGGTGCTGGCGCGAGCGCTGGTGTTTTGGTTGGGTTCGTGCTGAAGTTGTTCAAAGGAAAGGGACCCGAGTGATGGGGTGGTGTTCATGTGAAAGCGTGTTTTTGTGCTCTCTTTGCAAGTCAGATGGCTTGCGTCTCTCTTGACAGATGGCTTTTTGGAATCCAGTTTGGACATGGTTCAAGCAAGTCTTGCTTAAAAAACGAGCAGGGTTGGTCTGGAAAACTCACCGAGGTTCAAGGGAGATGGAACACACAAGGCATAGGGCCCTCTTTGCAATACCCACCAAAAAAAGGTGAATGGTAATCTTGCAGTTTTGGTTGACAGGACCGGGCCAAACTTTCTAAACCATGGCAATCGGAATTTCGTGCTTTGACAATCTCCTGGCTTTTTGGTTTGGTACCGTCTGAATCTTCAAACAAGATGTGCCCATCGAGCTTCCCAGTCGACCTTGACCCAACCAGCCCGTTGAAAGGACCAGCCTGGGAACAAGCCCATGGAACAACCGCGCTGCGTTCGCTGAAGGCTCGAACCCCCGCGAAAAAGGACAAACAAAGACTCGCCCCTGCCTGAGAATGTGCCGCGAAAGTTGTGATTCACTTCGGAAGTGGAGTATGTAAGGGAATAGGTTTGATCATTCATTCCACCGCGCTCAATCTTGAATATCACACTGAAGGCTACGCAACTCAACATCATTTGGATACACAACCTGCCAACAACCTACGCATGTGTGGGATGACCTTTTAAAGCTGAAACACGATTGAGTCCTTCCAAAATGGCCTTCGACCCTTTCCAGAAAATCCCAATAGGTTGAACTTTCGCGAATCCTTGGCCATGTATTCACACATCTGCTTTGAGTGATGCTGAAGGTCATTTCAGGAACCTGGGGCAGGATTTGCGGCCTCTTCTTCTTGCAAAAAAAACAGGCCAGACATCAGGGGATAAACAGGTGGACATTCATCCCAAGCCGGCCAGCCTACCCCTGAGCTCGGACGCAGGAGAAGCCCAGAAGTGTTTCCCCTGGACCGATTCTCTGTTTGTCCCCCCAAGGGCGGTCTCAAGTACAACAACTCATGAGTCTTGCAGGAAGCGCCCCATGCCGGAGAAACGGAGCGCCATTTGCAACTGGCCACGTGCGCCCGTACACGGACGCGACGCGCACTGAGATGCGCACCCGATAAAGGGAAATCTCAGGGCCCCTGTGCCCCCGGTCCACCCAGTCGCTGCTTTTCTTCGTTTCTACCACAAAAAATCGATCTAAAAAACAAAGCCTGACAACAAAACCCAAATCCCTACTGTGGATGGGCAACATCCTGCTTCAGGTAATGGGTAGTTCATCCCCTCAAGCTTCATCCATCCCAACTGGTGCTGATTGTATTGAACCGGCGCCAAACCCACCCAACCCAGCCCTGGCCCGCCTTGTGCAAAAGGCTGGGAAACAGCGCGAAGAAATGCCCCGGCGGCATCTGGTTCCTCTTCACCGCGAGGTCCTTGAGGCAGGCCAACAGCGCCGACCTCGGGAATGCGTGCAGTCGCCCAGCTTTCCGCGCGCCCGGAAAGCTAAGAGCCGCGGGTTGAGAGAGCAAGTGACATCCAAGTTACTCCAAGCAAAAAAAACCAGAGTTGAGGAAGAAAACTTGAAAATAAGATCTTCAAATGCCGGGGGGGGGGGTCCACTTGATAGGCCGGATAGGACAAGCCAAGCTGGAACTCTTGGTGCAAGTGGCGGGATCAAGTCGTCAAGCAGAGCGAAGTTGTGGCGAACCAGCTCTTGCTCAGATTCTCCAATCCGATTGTCGAGCAACATGCTCCTGTCAAAGGAAAACCCCAAACTGGTTGCTGTGTCTGGTTGGTTTCCCAAACAACCAAGGGGTCAAAAATGCTTGAAAACTTGGAGTGCACCCTTTCTGCGGGCACAAATGAGGGTTTCAAAATGTGTGGCGACCCTTAAAATGTTCTTTTGGCTGCCTTTTGAGCCAAAAAGGAGAATCCCTCTTGGAAGCACCCAAAGGGTGTCGTTTTTTGAGGATACGCTTTTTGGGTGGATTTGAAACGGAAGCCAAAGCAAAACCACTCTTCTCGGGGCTCCTCAAACAAAGAGAACAAAGTTTTTTGAGGATACCCTTTTTGGGTGGATTTGAAAGGGAAGCCAAAGCAAAACCACTCTTCTCAGGGCTTCTCAAACAAAGAGAAAGTCCAATGGCAACTGACATCAGCATGTTTGACATGCTCCTTCTATCTTGCGCCATGTTCAAAGGCGCATGCACATGCAGCCGCAGACCCAGATCGATGTTCCGCGGGAGCGGCAGGAAACAGAAGACCCTGCCCTCTTCGTCACCATCTTGCTCACGCGTCCTGTCAGGCTTGGGCAAAATGGGCTTCCAAGAACTTTTGGCCTCCACTTCAAAGGGAAACCACACGGCGGTAAACCGCCCCTAGTGGCTTGAACCCATTTTTCGGCAGAGCGGCTCAACCCTGGCGGCTTGCTCTTTGGGGGTGGGGGGGGAATGCAAGGGAAACAAAGGACGAGGAAACCAAAGGACACGAGGGGGTGCCTTGCGGGGATCGGAACTCACGCGAAACCACGTACCCACCCATCCTTTCCGGGACGGCCAGGCACACCCGGGAGCGAAAGCCGTGTTGCGTGTCTGTGAAGAGGTAGTATCTTCCTTGGTGCAGAGGGTCGGTTGGCAAAGATTGGGGCAATAATTCACAGAGCGAAAATAAGGACTGAAAGGAACCTTCAACACACAGTGACATGTTGCTATTTTCCCAGCATGTTGAAACGAGAAAGCAGCTTTGGCTTGAGCATATCTAAGCGAGGGGGTAAACCGACCCTGGTCTATGCGCAAAGGCTTGGCCAAGATTGCTAGACAGCCAGAAAAACACACACACACTTTTCTGGGTTTGGAAGGGTTGGACCTCCAAAAACTTTGCAACCAGCTTCCTTTTAACAAGCCCTAAACTCCACGCCGGAGAATCCTTTTTGCCACAAACATCTAGACCTAAAAAGAAAGGGAGGTGCAGCTGGTGTCCAGTTCCTTGGTGCCTGTCGGCTTGGTGAGGCTCGCCCACCAGCCTCAATTTGCATACTTTGAAAACCCTGGCTTTGTTGAATGATGACTACAAAATTGGCGGGGTTCACGTCATATCCGAACAAACAAATAACCAACCAAACGAACAAACAAACAACCAAACAAACAACCTGGAGCCCCGAAAGACTCCGCTTTTTCGGTCAAAAGGCGTATTTGGCCCATGTTTACACGTGAGGTTGTTGTTTTTATTTTTTTCGGTCATTTGCCTGATGTGCCTGTATTTGGCGGCATAAAGTATTTTGCCGATGAGATATTGAAACAACCGAAGAAACACATGAGGGTTGTCCAATATTCCTTGCTCCAAAAATCGCCTTCCACCTCGCCCTTCCGCGAATGTTCCGCGAACTTCCGTGATGCAGGTAAAACCACATGTTCTGATACGTGTCTGAACATAAGTAAGTTTCCGTAAAGTAATAAAAGTGAAGCAAGCCAAGAGGAAGAGCTAGTGCAGAAAGCAAGAAGTAGACTAGGAATGGAGCGAGGAGCAGAATAACAGAGGGAGGAACGCGGCAACAAGCGACAAGCTACGCTACGTAAATATGTCATATTTGGCCCTATGACCACTTTTTCGGGCAAAGCATTTCGACCAACAAAAAGCAGCATGTTGGGGCTCCAGGAGACAAACAAACAAGGAAACAAACAAGCACCCACGTGGAAACTTTGGAGAGTACGGGGCTCCCGCGGATCTTAAAAAACGTCCATCAGATCAACCTGATGTGGCCATGGGTCAAAATCCAAATCATACCCCCAGCGAACATTTTAATCCCCACTAAAATCCCGACTAAAATGGGTGGTGAATTCACCTAGCAACCAAAATGGGATCAACCATTACGGTTTTGACCACAGCCATGCGTTTCGCCGAGCTTCTCACCTTGGAGGTCTCGCCCTTGCAAAGAATCTCCAGCTCCTCAAAGGCTTCCGAGGGGTTGGGACGGCATTTTTGCTTGGAGAGGTCAGGGGCCCTGCGCTCAGGGCGCTGACGTTTCTGTTGAGAAAGGGAAACTCTCCAAGTCTAAAAGCTTAAAACCTGTGGTTGGTACTGCTTGTTTTGGTGGATTCTACAGGGAAACTCTCCTCCTACAAGCCCAAAAATCCCAACTTTGGGGTTCAGAGCGTTCCTTGGCCATCAGCGTGCTCCGTGTGGCGCTTTTGTCGGTGACCAGGCTGGGCCGCTTGAGCTTCGCAGTCGCGCTCGCCAGCGACATGGTGAAGAGGTTTTGCGGGGAGGCAGACCCGTCCTTGAGGACGGACATTGAAATCTCCTGGCAGAAATTCACACCCACCCCCTTTGGCAGACATCAAAATTCGGGGGGGGGGGGTTCATGTCACCAGAATAAGAAAGAGCCAGCCAACTGATCTGATGGTCGTTCAAAATGCAAAAACACAACATGTGGCTTTTGAGGGCACCCTTTTCTGGTTGGTACAACAAGGACCTGTTCCTATTTGGACACATATGTTGACCCCACTCCTGCACATTCTGTAGGAAGAGCAGCCATTGAAATGCTTCTTGTTGGAACTGCTGGCACAAGGCCTCCATCATCTCGTCGTTCACCACAATGCTGCCTTGATGCAAAGCCATGGGGAAATCGAAGAGAATTGGCACCATTTCGTTGGCTGGTTGATATACAGGGAAACCCAGCCAAGAAAAAACAAACACGGAAAACACAGAGGAAAGCCTTTTGGAGCTTGAAGGGAAACCCATCCAAAGCAAGTTCGGCAAACAAAAAAGAAAGCTGGGAAAGGGTGGAATCGAATGGAAGCTGGATGTCCCATCCCAGTTGATCTTAAAAACAAGATCCCATACCCCTCCCCCCATACCCCCGAAAAAAGTCGAACGCATCAACATATCCCCAAAAAAATGTCGGCCGAAGCACCAACAAGGGAAGCACATCCCCCCCCCACAAAAAATACAACAAAACAAAAACAATACAAGCATCCCAAGAAAAGGTCCAAACTGGGTCGCTCTTCTTGGGTAATTCTCCGCTAAAACTAATTCGCCTCGGCCCCAAAGGGGCCAAGGGCGCTCAGATCTCTTCTCCAAAGAGAATCTTCGCTTTTCCCCCAAGTCATCCAGCAAGCCCAGCCCAGCCTGCCCAGCCCAGGCCCCGGCGCATCTCAGGGCATGCCAGCCACTAGGCCGGCCTTCTCCCAGCCCGCCAGCAGGCGCAAGACTGGCCTCAGGCCAACGACCAGTCTCACGTGTCTGAGACTGGTCTCAAGCTATGCCAGCCACTAAGCCTGTCTGACGTGCCCCAGGTTTTCAGCTGCCCAAGCCAGACTAGCCTCAGGCCCAGTCCCTCAGCCTTGCTGGCGTGTCTTACGTGTCTGCGACTGGCCTCAGGCCCAGCCCAGCCAGCAACTCGCCACCCAGCCTCAGGCCCAAGTGTGTATGAAACAGGCCTTGCCCATCCAGCAACCCGCCCAAGCACAGCTCAGCCAAGTTCCAGGCGCAACCAGCAGCGTAGTCCGGCTGCCCGGCAGCCAGCAACCCACCCATGGCTTCGCAGCCTCGTGGCTGAGACTAGCTTCAGGCCCAGCCCAACCAGCAACCCACCTCAGCCCAGCCTGCCCAGCCCAGGCCCCGGCGCATGTCAGGGCATGCCTCCCAGCCCACCAGCAGGCTCAGCCCAGCGTGCCAAGGTCAGGTTTGTCTAACGTGTCTGAGACTAACCTCAGGCCAACAACCAGTCTCACGTGTCTCAGACTGGTCTCAAGCTATGCCAGCTACGAAGCCTGTCTGACGTGCCCCAGCCGCTCAGTCCGGCTGCCCAAGCAGCTCAGCCCAGGCTGGCCAGGTCTTGACCTCCTGCTCGCGTCTGGCCAGGCCCAGCCCCTTCAGCGCAGTCTGAGACTGGTCTCAAAGTATGCCAGCCTGAGACTAGCCCCTCAGCCCGCCTGCTGGCGTGTCTTACTCGCCACCCAGCCTCAGGCCCAAGTGTGTATGAAACAGGCCTTGCCCATCCAGCAACCCGCCCAGCCCAGCCCGCGGTCACAAGCTTTCAGTAGGATTCGGACCTTCCCAACACTGGATTTCGGTGTTCCTGACCCTTCCCTCAAACTAGGCTGGGCCGAGGCGGGCAACGCGAAGCGTTTACAATTAGTCCACACAGAAAAAGGATCCACAAAAAATCAAATCGCCCCATCTCCCATAAATGAATTCGCGGAATCCACGCCACGCGGCTGATTTCGCTCTTCTTGGCCGTCTCTTTGGTCCGGAAGGGGATGCGAATCAAGGTCCCCTGAAACGGACTCGACGACGCATCCTCGGCACGGGTACGGGTTATTCAGATACCGGGGGGGCCAAGAAAATCAGTAGATGCTTACTCGGTTGCTTTCTGCTCCCCTGCTAAAAGTTTAGTGGTTTAGTGGCAAACCCATTAGTTGGCAAAAAGTCTAAGTCCTAACAGCCAAGCAAAATGCACCAAAGTTTACCCAGTTGTTCAGTGACCCTGGAAACAAGGGGAACCCTTTTTGGGGCCACAATGGTCTCATGTAAGTGTTCTCTTTGTTTGCTATGCAAAGGGAAACCAAAAGTAAACCGCTGCCATTCTATATACGGGGCCAGAAGTTTTGAGAAACCACCATTAAAGCCGAAACACCAGCATAAACTCAGTTGTTCAGCGGCACCAATTCTTTTCCCCCCTTTTTTTTGGTGGCTGCCCCACGAAAAAAAATGGTCCAAGTGGAGCATAGCCGTTTCGGGGACAACGACATATGGGATTTCCATCCCCATGACTACTAGTGCTGTTTCACAGGGGGGGATTCCTTTGGTATTGCAGAAAATGTCCCCAAAACCCTAGCTTCCACCACCATGCATGAGACATGGTCAAACTCCGAATCTGCGGGTGACCATCCCTTACATGCGGGGAATGCCTTCCCCCAAGACAACCTTGGACATCTCGCGAGCCCCCTGAAGTGTGTGAGGAATTTCAAGCTCGGCCCCACCTCTAACTCACAAATGAGGAATGATGGGGCCCGAGGTGACGCGCAAGGTCAGTCCTGAATTGGCCAAATGGATGCGACACACCAAAACGCCAACCGGCCAAGCGAAAGGATCCCATTTGACAGCCAAATGTGTGGTGATCCCCCGAGCATGCCCGCTAGACAGCTTTGTCCCATCCTTTATCATTTTGAGCCAAAACTGATTCAGTATGTCCTGCTGTTTGGCTTTCCAAAAAGAAGGATCCGATTACAGTAGGGGGACGCACTGGAAGTCTTAGAAGGGCCATCCGGTAAAAATCGAGCATTCTGCCAATGAACTCATGTCAGGAACTTCAACGACAATACGCGTATTTTGCTACCCCATCCCAACTTTTTGCTTTTTGCAATGGCTAAAAAGTCCCAACACGTGGATCACGGATCACGGCACTCGCTCCGCAATGGCAAACATCCCGAAATTGATGACCATCCCGATGGAGTTTGGGCATGGCAGGGTTTGTCTCAACATTAGGTCTGCCAAAATGGGTGGGTGTCTTCCCTTCTAAATCACGTGACAAAAGGGTTCACTCACAAAAAGTGAGCTGCAACCATTTGAGTGTGTCTTTTCTATGGCGTTATGGCGTGCCCCTTTTTGGGGGTTCCATATCCTATTTTGAGACAGACCCATGCAATGTCCTCGAGAACCGGCTCCCTTTTGTTTCTTCCGAAGGCTCCATATCGCAGCCTAGGAGTTGGTAGGGCTCGAACTGATCCCGGAACCTCTCCAGCACGTTGGCTTTCAAGAACCGCAGCTTGATGCCTCGAAATCGGATGGCTGCGCAGTCCAGGTGTGTCTTTTGTGAAGCGAAGGGCACCCTTTGGGGGTTGGTTTAAGGGAAACCAACAGGAAACCAAAACACAAGTGGGTTCGCTCATTTTGAGACGAATCCAAATTGGGGACACCCCCCAAAGAAAGAGAGGCGAAGGATCCCGAGCCTCGACAAAAGAGAAACACCCAGAAGGACTCGGTTTTGGGCCTTCTCAAACTGGACGGCCCTTGGGCCCTTGGACCTGCTCACAGGGAATCCTTTTGGGGAGTGCCTCGATCGCGACCACCCCCTTCAACACGCACCAAATGTCCCTTCAAGGCGGCCCGAATGGAAAAGGAATCCCCATTCTTGCACAACCAGGGGAAGAGCATCTCACAAGAGAAGCTTTCAAAAAAAAATGCTTTACCCCCCTCCCCCACAACTTCCTATGGGCCTTGGGGATGGCTACGCTCTTCTTTTATTTTTTTTCGGTATTTCCGACCGGATCTCCCGCAGAAAGGGATCAAACATGGGTGTTCTTTGGCGGTGAGGGTTTTTTGGCCGGTTTTCTACAAGAACCAGCGGCTTCAAATCCAAATCCAAACCGTTGCCCTGGCTCGACCCCTGAAAACTGGCAACGATCTTTTTCCTGGTCGCCATGGTCGGTTTCCCAAAGGGAAAAAAAAACGGTTCATCCTTTTGGATCCAACTTGACTTTCTTGAGAAACCTGTGCGGTCGGAAAACGACCATCCCTTTCAATCTTTGCGGTCGGTTTCCCTTTTCCAGATTGTCATTGTGTTCCCTTGGGTTCCCCTTTCCGCTGATTGCCCTGCCCAAACCACCGCAACGCCGCCGCGCCTGGCTTCTGGGAGGAGGCCCCCTTCCGCGCCAAGTGCGTGACGTGGGGGTCTAGGAAGAGCACCATGTCCTCGCGAAAGACGAAGAAATCCGAGAAACGAATCAAAAGCTTCGTTTCGGTTTCTGCTCGAACGTGGTCTGGTGTTGTTGTTGTTTTGTGTGTCTGTGTTGTGTGTCGTGTTGTGTCCCTTGTTTGTTGCAAATCTGTTCAAGAGTTGCCGGGTGAAAGGTTGGACGGTGAAAGACTGGTTGTTCAAAGGTTGGGATGCGGTTCCCGCTTCACCGCCAACCTGCCAGGCTCAAGATTGGGTCCCTTCCTGATTCACGACCCGTGTTGAGAACCAAAACCGCCATATTTCGGAACGGCCCCCAAATCAGAGGGTACCCAACAAACTGGAAGGCTCCCCCCAATCAGAATCAACCAGGCTAAAGAGCCCCCATCCTCCGCCATCCATCAATGCCACGCCCCCCCGCCACCCCACCTTCCCCCCTCCCCCCCCACCCCCCCGCCCCACCTTCCCCAATGCATGCATCAACGCCACCCCTCCACGCCTGGCTGGGGGCTGAGGACCCACGCCCCACCCCCCATCCGCCTAGCTGAGGAACCCCCCCCCCACCCTTCCCCCATCTCCACCTCCCCCCGCTTCCCTCCATGCCTGGCTGAGCACGGAGGGCAGATCCGTCAAGTTGTAGACCGAGTTGAAGCCCAGCCCAAACCGCCCGATGCGCTCGGAGCTGCCGCGCTTCCCCCCCACGCCCAGCCGGCAAATGGCCTCGAAGTCCTGCGGACGCTTTCGTCGGGCAACGTCCAGACTCGAGTCGGGGGAAGGGGAGACGCGCGCTAAGGGGCACCCCATGTTTTTTTGTGTGGTGGCTTCAAAGGAAAACCAAGAAGAAAAAGTTAGGTTGAAGCAAAACAGGGACTATTTCGAGACATCCATGTGTCTGTCTCAAAATAGGGGGGGCCCTTTTGGATGGCCGGAGAGAAAACCGAAAGGACACTTCCCATTTTGGGAGCCTCATTTGGAGAAGCATGTTTCTTCATGTTGATGGCTTTCAGATTGTTATCACCACTTGCCCCAAATATCAGAAACGTGGCCCTCGAAACAGTTCGGCGTAGTTTCGGAATCCCCTTTCATTTGTGCGTGTTTGGTGAGCTACACGGTTTCTCAAAATGGCGGACCCCCCGAAATCGCCTTTTATTTCATTTTTGGCTTTACCTGAAAATCCAAAGGGGCACCTTCAAATCAAGTGGCTAAGCTCCATCTGGGCGGTGTTCGTTATGCTTGGCGCAGCGTCACCAAACTGTTTCTCTTGAAATAGGCGTCCCCCCAAATCCGGGGAGAAGTCATTCAGAACACAGCCTAGCGCATCCATTAAAGTTTAGCCTGCCACTCCAAATACTTACGGCTCAAAAGCAAAGCTTCTGAAAAGTAACGAAAACCCAGGCTTTCGCAACGAGGTAGAGCCAAGGTCATCTAAGGCTTTGATACAGTTTTGCGGATTCCAAAAAGTAAAACTGGGTGTGGTCGCAAAACCATTTGCTGGGCGAACAGCAGGCAGTCGAGGGCTCACACAGCAAGCAGCTGACCCTGTCCTGTTCGGTGAAAATTGCATCATTGTAGGCCCAGAGGCAGTTTGTTTGCCAAGCCGCCATCTCGGGCGTAAGAAGGCTCTGCTTTGCTAACTTCCGGGTGTCCCAGACAAAATGCACACGCCCTGCACCGGCATCGTCCGCATTTTGCACCATTTCCTTGAACAGACCCACATCAGCTGGATAGTCCTTTAGGAGATTCTTCAGCCGAGTAGTCAGAGGCTCAGATTGTCCCGCAGCCTCACACCAGTCGTTTTGATCCTTGTCCAGTTGCCGGACCAGGCTAGATAAGCTCTCGGCGTCTAGCTGTCCCTGTGCGTTCAACTGGGCTTGTAGCTGCTTCACGAGCTCTTCCGCGTCGGCACTTGCCATGGAGAAGCTCGCTCGCAACCGAAGCTTGCTATCGTGCCACGAGCCGGAGGCTTTCCGGCACCAGAAGCGCTCCGATCGGCCGATCTCTACGCGTGCACCGAATTCCGTCTGTGAGAACTTCTCAAGACAGTGAAGGTGTTTGTAAGCTTGAGGGAGTCTCAAGACGTGCAGTTGTCCTAAGCAAATACGAGCATTTGTTCAGAGGTGGGTATGCGTGTGTTGTTTGATGCTACTTTTGTCAGGTCGGTTTAAAGGGAAACCAACACACCTGTACGAGTACTTCTTCAAGCGCATGACGCCGCTCGTCAGCATGCCTACCTTATGGAAGCGAAACCATTGGCCCGGCATGTCATGAGCCCCTGGAGTGCAGAGTCCCGTGTTTACCCCTCTTGTCTACCGGGCTCGATCCAAGCCAAAAATCTGCGGCAAAAGCAGTCGGGGGGGGAAACAAGTGCCTGGAGATTCAACCACCCAGGCAAAAGCAAGACGATGACCAAAACACCCATTTCTGTTCTAATCGATTGAAGCTGCAGGTGTTGCCCTATGTTTCAAAACCCTTCGGTCACAGCCATGGCGCCAATGTGAATCAAAACGACCTTCGACGTCTTGGGCCCCTGCTAGAAGGCAATGCCCGTAAGTATGAATTGTCATTGACCCCGTGCCCCCGAAGAACTTAATGACCGCTATTAAAGTCACCCAAGTGCCAGGTTCAAGGGAAACCAACAAGCAGTTTCTGACTTTGAGCCCCAGAAACAGCCAAGATCATGACACCAGTGTGTGACATTATGGTAGACAGGTGGGCAGCTCTGTCCATTTTGGTGGGTTCCAGCCGTTCTTTCTGACAAAAACCATCGCCATGCTTTGATGTCGTGAGAACCCGATGCCGCGCCGCGCGCTTTTCGCTCCGAAGCTCATGTTTTGCCCACGGCGAAGATTTGCCGCACGTCGCCTCCTTGTGCCCATGGCGAGGGATTCGGGCGTCGAACCGTCGGGGGGGGGGGACAATTCCCTGGTGGGTCAGGAACGGATATGAATGAATGGCAAACCGCACAGGGATTGTGCCATCTGCCTTCACCGAATGGTACCCAAAGGTTGCCCTCTCTTCAACGGGTTCTAACCAAATCAAGGGTCAGCAAGCCCCTTTCCAGTCCCGAGATTTCCTGCAAGGATTAGGTCATAGCGCTGGCAGAACTTGGGCCCCTGGCCAATGCAAGTCGCTATTCGCATCTAGCTTGAACCCCAGAGACATGGGTGAGGGTCGCTTCCAAATTATTGGGTGTGTGAAGCGAAACGTCTTGGGTGGACCCTTGATTTCCCCTAGGTGACGTGGCTCGCAAGGGTTGAATCCAAGGCACGCCAATTCAATCATGAGAACTGGGCAAGCCCGATTTCCATGGTGGATGAGCCCGTCTTTCCCTGAAAAATCGCCTTTCCAAAATCGCGTCGCAGATGGAAAATGCAAAAAATAACACTGGGGGCGGCCCTCGCAAGGAATTCGGCTTGGGGCCCGGGGCTATCCCCAACAAACCTGAAGGCTCTACTCACGGCCAACGGGCCATCAATCCCGAAACTCCGAGCCATGGTAGCTGTACCGCCACTTGCAGGGATCCTTCTTTCCAATGGCCAAAACAAAGGTGTGAGTGGTTTCTCAACGAAACAAGGGCGAAAAGAGGAACCTTTGGAATGGTTCCCTCACTACGAATCAACTTATGCCATTTCAACATGGCGCACCGCGGTCGGAAGTCTCACGACGTTCCTTGCAGTTCGGTGAGTGCCCGCAAACATGGGTTGCTGGGCATACTTCCATGGCAAATGATATCGCCGGGTCCCCAAGTCCCAATGATCACAGGAAGAACTGCCACACCTGTGACTCATGGCTTGCGACCTCGAGCGGCTTCGAGCGGAAGCACACCCAAAAGCTTGGAGCGCAAACATGCTGCAGGACAACAGGAGAAGCAGAGGTTGGGAAAGTGGGCTCTAGGATGAAAGAGTTGTGATAAGGGTATGACCTGTTTCCCCTCTTGTGGGGTTGGTTTACCCCTGGAGACACCTCCATGTCCCTTATTCGCATCCAGGTTTGCAGCGAGGGGTGAGGGTTGGGGGGATCGAGGGAGCCCATTTGGGCGTCCCGACCGCAGTGCATTGCGCGTATCGGCGCGCCTCGGCAAGTCCCACATGCTTCACTTTTGCGCTTGGTTGCTTGGTTGCTTGGTTGGTTGGTTGGCTGGTTGACTGGTTGACTGGTTGGTTCTGAGCGTTGCTCGATTTATTGTTTGTTCGTTTGTTTGTTTGATTGTCTTGTTTGTTTGTTTGCTTGGTTGGTTGGTTGCTTGGTCGGTTGGTTGGTGAGTTGGTTGGCTGGTTGACTGGCTAGTTGGTTGGTTCTGAGTGGTGCTCGATTTATTGATTGTTCGTTTGTTTGTTTGATTGTCTTGTTTGTTTGTTTGTTTGCTTGCTTGTTTGTTTGTTTGTTTGTTTGCTTGGTTGGTTGGTTGCTTGGTCGCTTGGTTGGTTGGTTGCTTGGTCGGTTGGTTGGTTGGTTGGCTGGTTGACTGGTTAGTTGGTTGGTTCTGAGTGTTGCTCGATTTATTGTTTGTTCGTAATTTGTTTGATTGTCTTGTTTGTTTGTTTGCTTGCTTGTTTGTTTGTTTGTTTGTTTGCTTGGTTGGTTGGTTGCTTGGTCGGTTGGTTGGTTGGTTGGTTGGTTGGCTGGTTGACTGGTTAGTTGGTTGGTTCTGAGTGTTGCTCGATTTATTGTTTGTTCGTTTGTTTGATTGATTGTCTTGTTTGCTTGCTTGCTTGTTTGTTTGTTTGTTTGCTTGGTTGGTTGCTTGGTCGGTCGGTTGGTTGGTTGGTTGGTTGGTTGGTTGGCTGGTTGGTCGGTTCTGAGTGTCGCCCGATGTATTGTTTGTTCGATTGTCTTGTTTGTTTGCTTGCTTGTTTGCTTGTTTGTTTGCTTGGTTGGTCGGTTGGCTGGTCGGTTGGTTGGTTGGTTGGCTGGTTGACTGGTTAGTTGGTTGGTTCTGAGTGTTGCTCGATTTATTGTTTGTTCGTTTGTTTGTTTGATTGTCTTGTTTGTTTGTTTGCTTGGTTGGTTGGTTGCTTGGTCGGTTAGTTGGTTGGTTGGTTGGTTGGTTGGCTGGTTGACTGGTTAGTTGGTTGGTTCTGAGTGTTGCCCGATTTATTGTTTGTTCGTTTGTTTGTTTGATTGTCTTGTCTGTTTGATTGCTTGCTTGATTGATTGTTCGTTTGCTTGGTTGGTTGGTTGCTTGGTCGGTTGGTTGGTTGGTTGGTTGGTTGACTGGTTAGTTGGTTGGTTCTGAGTGTTGCCCGATTTATTGTTTGTTCGTTTGGTTGTTTGATTGTCTTGTTTGTTTGCTTGCTTGTTTGTTTGTTTGTTTGTTTGCTTGGTTGGTTGGTTGCTTGGTCGGTTGGTTGGTTGGTTGGTTGGCTGGTTGACTGGTTAGTTGGTTGGTTCTGGGTGTTGCTCGATTTATTGTTTGTTCGTTTGTTTGTTTGATTGTCTTGTTTGTTTGTTTGCTTGCTTGTTTGTTTGTTTGTTTGCTTGGTTGGTTGGTTGCTTGGTCGGTTGGTTGGTTGGCTGGTTGACTGGTTACTTGGTTGGTTCTGAGTGTTGCCCAATTGTTTGTTTGTTCGTTTGTTTGTTTGATTGTTTGTTTGCTTGCTTGCTTGCTTGCTTGCTTGGTTGTTTGTTTGGTTGGTTGTTTGTTTGTTTGTTTGTTTGTTTGTTTGTTTGTTTGTTTGTTTGTTTGTTTGTTTGTTTGATTGTTTGTTTGTTTGTTTGTTTGTGTTTGTTTGATTGTTTGTTTGTTTGTTTGTTTGTTTGTTTGTTTGTGTGTTTGTGTGTTTGTGTGTTTGTTTGTTTGTTTGTTTGTTTGTTTGTTTGTTTGTTTGTTTGTTTGTTTGTTTGTTGGTTTGTTTGTTTGGTTGTGGGTTTCGTTTTGTTTGTTTGTTTGTTTGGTCGTTTATTTTGCTTGTTTTGTTTGGTTGATTGTTTGTTTGGTTGCTTGCTTGCTTGCTTGCTTGGGTGGTTGGCTGGTTGACTGGTTAGTTGGTTGGTTCTCAGTGTTGCGCGATTGTTTACTTATTTGTTTGTTTTGTTTGTTTTGTTTGTTTGTTTGTTCGTTCGTTTGCTTGTTTGTTTGGTTGGTTGCTTGGTTGGATGGTTGGCTGGTTGACTGGTTAGTTGGTTGGTTCTGAGTGTTGCGCGATTGTTTGTTTGTTCGTTGGTTTTCTTTGCTTTGTTGGTTTGTTTGTTTGTTTGTTTGTTTGTTTGTTTGTTTGTTTGTTTGTTTGTTTGGTTGGTAGTTTCTTTCTTTGTTTCTTTGTTTGTTTGTTTATTTCTATATTTTTTGTTTTTTGTTTTATGGCTTTGCTTCGTTGTGTATTTGTGTCTTCGTCTTGTTTCGGTGTTTCTGTGTTTCTTTATTTCTTCCTTTCTGTCTTTGTTTGTTTGCTTGGTGTTGATTGTTTTGATTTGTTTGTGTCTTTGTTTCTTTGTTTCGTTGTTTCGTTGCTTCTCTGCGTCTCTGCTTATTTGCTTATTTGCTTCTTTGCTTCTTTGCCTCGTCCTTTCTGTCGCTATTTCTGTTTTTGTTTGTTTTCGTTTGTGTTGGTTTGTGTTTGCGTGTGTGTTTATTTGTTTGTTTGTTTGTTTCTGCTTGCTTTTGTTGGTTTCGTTTGCTTGTTTGATTGATTGCTTGTTTGCTTGTTTGTTTCCTTCTTGCTTGTTTGTTTCTTGCTTGCTTGCCTGCTTGCTTGCCTGCTTGCTTGCTTGCTTGATAGTTAGTTGTGTGTGTGTGTGTTTTACTTCCTTTGCTGGTTTGCGTGGTTTGGACTGTTGCAGGAGAGGCCCCGGAATGCCACAAGCGCAAATGCTAAAGCTCAACATGTTTCCTGCTCGGACTAGGATCACCCAGTTGATAAGTCGCGGAACGTGTCAACGAGGATGTGACTACGAAAAATACGGATTGCTTCCA